TTTTGTTCAACCTCCCACTACCCTAAGATTTCTAAAGCACCATTCAGAAGATGATATAATCTCTTCTGGTTCCCTCTCTTGTGAGGGAACTATTTAGGCTGCTAGTTTGAATACTGTCATGAAGTTCCCTATAACTGCTCCACTATGAATCTGTTTCAGCCTGTAGAAGACGACATATTTTTCCTTCTCCTTTTACCTATTTATAGCCTTAAAATTAGAAATGTTTATTTAGTCACTGGAGAAAATTTGGAGAATTTGAAAAAAATTCCTTATAATCTTGTAATCTAAAGATATTCAATTAAACATATGGATCTTTTCTTTTAGGACCTGTATTTTATTCACTTTTTTTAAAAAATTGAATTATATAGTTCATCCTGGTTTTCTCATTCAATATTACATTTAGGGGGTTTTATTTTAAAAATATGTGACAATATTTTATTTAATTGCTGCATACATTTACAGTAACTTCATAGGATAAAGTTTACCCTATGGACTTGTTATATTTTTCTTTTCTTTTCTAGTTCTTTAAAGAAAGAAAGAGAAAGAGAAAGGGGGAGAGAGAACAGGAGTCTTGCTCTATTGCCCAGGCTGGAATGCAATCCAAAAATAGGTATCAAAAACCTCCTTTATGCTGATAATTGTGCTTAACAGCAGAGACAGGAAGGAATAAGAGAAGAAAATAACAAAAAAACAGCCAACCAATATTTCATTTAAGTCTATGAAATGCTATGCAAATGCTGAAGAGTGTTTTACTTCCAATTATGTGGTCACTTTCAAAATAGGTGTAATGTGATACTGAGAAAAATGTATGTTCTGTGGAACTGGAATGAAGAATTCTATAAATATTCACTGAGTTTACTTGTTCCAGGTCTGAGTTCAAATCATAGATGTCCCTGTTAATTTTCTATCTCTTGGATCCATCGAATATTAACAATGTGGTGTCAAAGGCTCCCGCTATTATTGTGTGGGAGTCCAAGTCTCTTTATAAGTCATTAAGAACCTATGTATCTGGGTGTTCCTATATTGGGTGCATATATATTTATGATCACTGACTCCTGTTGTTGCGTTTAGCCTTTTACCATTATGTAATGTCCTTCTTTGTTTCTTTTAGTCTTTATTACTATTAAAGTCTATTTTGTCAGAGATAAAAGTTACAACTGTTATTTTTTAATTTGTTTTCTCTCCATTTGATTGATAAGTCTTCCACCAGCCCTTTGTTTTGAGTCTTTGTGTGTCCTTGCTTATGAGATGGCTCTGGATACAGTGTACCAATGGGTTTTGACTTTTCTTCTTTCTTTTTTTTGAGACAGAGTCTCACTGTTGTTACCCAGACTGGAGTGCAAAGGCACAATCTCAGCTCACTGCAACCTCTGCCTCCTGGGTTCATACAATTCTCTTGCCTCAGCCTCCCGAGTAGCTGGGACTACAGATGCGCACCACCATGCCCAGCTAAGTTTTGTATTTTTAGTAGAGACGGGGTTTCACCTTGTTGAGCAGGGTGGTCTTGATCTGTTGACCTAGTGATCCACCTGCCTCGGCCTCCCAAAGTGCTGGGATTATAGGTGTAAGCCACTGTGTCTGGCCCAGGTTTTGACTTTTTATTCAATTTGCCTGTCTGTGTCTTTGATTGGGGCATTTAATCCATTTAAATTTAGGATTAATATTAATATTTGTGAGTTTAATATTGTCATTTAATTCTTGCTGGCTATTTTGCCCATTAGTTGATATAGATTCTTTATTATGGAGATACTCTTTACCTTTTGGTGAGTTTTTGGGATGACTGATACTGGTTGTTCTTTTCTGTGTATAGTGCTTCTTTCAGAAGCTCTTGTAAAGCAGGCCTGGTGGTGATGAAATCTCTGAGTGCTTGCTTGTTCATGAAAAATTTTATTTTTCCTTCATTTATGAAGCTTAGTTTGGCTGGATATGAGATTCTGGGTTGAAAATTATTTGAGGATATTGAATATTGACCCCCCATTTTCTTCTAGTTTATAGGGCTTTCTGCTGAAAGATCCTCTGTGAGTCTGATAGGCTTCCCTTTATAGGTAACCTGACCTTTCTCTCTAGCTGCCCTTAGAATTTCCTCCTTTATTTCAACCCTGGTGAATCTACCAATTATGTGTCTTGGGGTTGCTCTACTTGAGGAATATCTTTGCGGTGTTCTCTGTATTACCTGGAGTTGAGAATTGTCCTGCTTTGGTAGGTTAGGAAAGTTTTCCTGGATAATATCCTGAAGAATATTTTCCAGCTTGAATTCATTCTCTTCATGACATTAAGGCATACCTATCAAATGTAAATTGGGTCTTTTCACATAGTCCCATATTACTTGGAGACTTTGCTCATTCCTTTTTACTCTTTCTTCTCTAAACCTGTCTTCTGTTTCATTTCATTAAGTTGGTCTTCGACCTCTGTTATCTTTTCTTCTGCTTGATCAATTAGACTGTTAAAACCTGTGCACACTTCATGAAGTTCTCATATCGTATTCTTCAGTTCCATTAATTCACTTATATTCCTCTGTACATTGTCAATTCTTGTTAGGATTTCATCAAACCTTTTTTCCAGGTTCTTAGTTTCTTTACATTGGGCTAGAACATGTTCTTTTAACTCACAGAAGTTTCTTATTATCCACCTTCTGAAGCCTAATTCTGTTAATGGAATGCACTCATTCTCTATCAGGCCGTGTTCCCTCATTGATGAGGAACTGTGATCCCCTGTAGAGGGAGAGGCATTCTGATTTTGGGTATTCTCAGCCTTTCTATGCTGGTTTCTTTCCATCATTGTAAATTTATCCACATGTCATCTTTGTAATTACTGACTTTCAAATTAGGTCTCTGAGTGGACGTCCAACATGTTGATCCTCATCACCAGAATCTGAGCAACCCACTGCACTGGCTAAAACAGTGGCATTAAGATTCACGGCACTTTTCTGCCTGGGAATATCTGGTCTGGTTTCCTTCTTGAGTCCCTTTTTCAATCAGAAAAACTTTGCCCTCTTTAGTAAAGAGATGGCCAGAGAATCAATTGCACTGTGACAAGAAACAAGAGATGTAATTTAGATTGTATAGTAACTGGTATGTAAATATTCACTAATCTTTCTTATCTATCAAAAGTGGCTAATGGTTAATCCTGTGTTTTGTATTCTCGAAAACAGTTGGGTCAATCGTGTGTCCTTTTGAAAAATAAGTGGAAAACAGAAGGCTCAGGATCTCTGGTTTCACTTTAATCAAGACTAAGTCAAAGGTATCTAGGGCCTATAAACTTGACAAATTTTAGCTTTTTATTATTGATCTATAAACACTTATATTAATTACTTCAAACTTTTCTTAGCATTGTTGAAAATCCCATGTATTCACTTTTTAGTTTTCTGTTGATGCAGAGGAGTTTTTAATTACACAGGAACTTACTGATAATTTGTTTTTTCTACTACTTTTATATGAGAAAGTCCTCCTTCATATGTTTACCAATAGTTTCCACTTTAAATGTCTTAGGAAAACTATTCCTTTATAAGCTGTTGCATGATGTGAAGAATAATTTTATACATTTTCTGATCGTTAATGCCAAACTAATCTCATACAATAATTTAAAATTTTCTCCTTCTAATCTATTTTCAATCACATTTCTTCTGATAGTTTTAATTACCATTGTTTTAAAGTATACTTTAATATCTGACAGAGCAATTCTACCTTACCCATTTTGGTTTTTTTTTCCCTCAAGAGATTTTCAGCTAGTGCTATTTATTTTACAGGATAAACTTTAGAGTTGCTTTTTAATTTCCTCTTCATCCATCCTGGAAAAAATTCCATTTGGATTATTTGGAAAACTCATTTCTAAATTTGTGTTGAATTAATATGAGTTATGTCTTTCAGTTTTGGAATACAGTACATTTATCTACGCAAATCTTTGTATGTTTGTGTCTGTCCACACCCACAGCATAATAAAGTTTCATAGTTTGAATAATAAATCTTAAATTTTAGTGTTATTTCTAGTTATGCATCTATTTTTTCTAATTTAAATTAGAAAATCTTGATATGTAATACATTTTAATATTCAATTATCCTTGTGTTCTTGGGATAAATTCTACTTGGTTCTGTCAAATGTTTATCAAATTATCTGCTGAGGTCAAGTATTGACTTAACCCAGAGGTGGTTCAGAGTATACCACTCTGATACAAGGATGATTTTGAGTGGAAGGCAATTAAAAAAAATGTAGACACAAGCAAAACTCTCTGCCTTCCCACTGTCTCCACTAGGAAAGGCAGAACAATTCTTAATTAGAGACAGATCTAGACTCTTATCAGCCCAGAGGTGGCACCGGAGGAATCTACATAACAAATCCTTCTAAAGGAACTTTTGTTTTCTACAACTGTCCCCAGTGTATTCTCCTTCCTACAGTATGCCACCTCTAGAAGCTCAAAGTCCTTTCCCTTTATGTTTTCACTGCTCTCAGCTATTCCTTTGTTCGGGTGTTATATACGACCAAGTTCTAATCACTTCTTTTGAGTTACTCACCACTGAGTTTTTCAACATATGCATAATACATGTGTTAGTAAGATCCAGTTTTTCTATTTTTAATCTGTCTTTTGTCAGTATCATTGCCAGAGTTCCAGTCAATAAACCTAAGATGGTCTGAGAAAAAATAAAATAAAAGCAACTTCTTTACACCAACTAAAGGAATAATATCTATCTCTACTACAACTACTGCTCCTCTCAGTACTTCACCTCTGACACCAAGACGTATGGGATTTCTTCCCCTATATCACCTGGGTATCTTACAATTCAATTCCATTCTGACATTATCTACCTTGGGTTAGCACAAACGGCACAGGTTAAGAGCTCAGTTTCACAGACTACCCTCACTTCCCACTTCAGATGCCAATTGCAAGTCCAGGTTGTCATATGTGCTACTGACTGACCAGCAATAAATCAGGGGTTCCCACGATCCCTTCCTCAGGTTTGATAATTTGCTAAAACAACACACAAAATTCAGGGAAACACTTGTACTTGTGTTCACCAATTTATTACAAAGGATATAATTCAGGAACAGTCAAATGAAAGACATGTAGGGCAAGATATGGAGGCTGGGCACAGAGCTTCAGTGTTCCTTCTGGGTACACCACCCTCCCAGCACTCTGTGTTCACAAACCCAACTCGCTGAATGCTCTCCTTTTGGGGTTTTATGGGGACTTCATTACATAGACATGATCAGTAACATCATTGGCAATTGGCAATTAAATCAATTTCCAGTCCCTCTCCCCTACTGAGAGGTTGGACTAAGTTCTAAACTTCTGATCACAGGATTTGTTCCTCCGGAGAGATGGGTAGAAGAGAAGTATTTTTTTCTTCCTTCTACCCCAGAGCTTATAAACCTTGGAGAAATTGAAATAGTCATAAAACTTTTGGGGAGAAGGAAATATAAAATAGTATATTTTATGAATTATTTCTAAGTAAAGAACAGATATGTAGTTGATTAACATTATAAATAATAACTGACATTGCTAATGTACTCTTCCTTCCCTGCCGTCTTCTTTATTTCTTTGTTTTTCCAATCTTTGTGTGCCCTGACACCCACAGAAGAGGCAATAGGGAAACAGTCTAAACTTTTCCTCCAAGCAGCACAATTTTAAGAACAGGAATCAGAATAAATATTTCTAATCCAAATATAACACAAGCTTGATTTCTTAGAGATTAATATGTCTTCTCTTATTTAATTCTCAAAACAACCTGGTGAGGCAGTGCATGGTAACAGTTCTGTACAGCAAGAAAGGTAGAAGTATACATCATTTTCATAGATACTGCAGTCTCCCCACAAGAAGCTGTGGTCTTCTTGGTGCTAAATTGGCTTAGGAACCAAGAAAACTCAGTGCTCATCAGCATTCTCCTAGATAGAAACACAAAGATTCTTAGTGCACTTACTTCTAGGATGGTATTGTAAATCTGAAGAATAAAAAAAGACAACAGTTTAGCAGTTGGCTTTTTTTGCCCACCCTAAGAGGACCCTACCTGCATAGAGAATGACACTGGTATCTGGGTCCTCCTTAGGAAGGCAAAGGCCAGCAAAAAGCCATACATCCTCCTTCTCTGGGCTTTTACTTCATCACATATTTGTATCCTTGATTAAGTAAACTGAGAATTCATAGACCATAGTGTGCATGGTGGTGGGGTGTCTCGTTTCACAAATGAAGAAACTGAGCCTTAGAAAGATTTGAGATAATTCCCAAAATCACTCAACTAGTATATGGTAGAACTGAGATATGGACCAAGGACCATCAGATTCTAGAACTCTGGATTTCTGTATCCCATGATGTCCAGAAACGGTTGACCACCCAAAATCCTTTTCCATTTCCCTTCTCTCTAGTCACCCTCTGGTCAGGCATGGCCATGTGACGATTCTGGATAGAGATTTAAGTAGGCTACAGGATTCTTGGAAACATGTTTGTTTTCCTGATAGGGATAACCCTTGCTTCCCCTTCTTCCTTCAGTGTGATGATAAGAGATGAAATAACCAGTATGCAACCGTTAGGAAAAGCCAAAATAATCAAAATACCTTTAGCGCTGGTGGAGTTCAATTGTTGAACTAGCAGTGCATCTGCATTTCTCTGGGTTTCTCTGAAAATTATGAGTTTAAGTCACAGTAACCAGGTTTCTAATTACCACCAATTGACAAGCTCATGTAATGTCTTTTGCCTTATTAATATATAGCATTAATTTTCTTCTGTTCTTGTCTAAAACTGCTTCACTCATTCTTTATTTTTAGCATTTCTCAGCAAATTTTATCTAGGTGTGATCCATGTAAGAAACGTTGTTGCATTTTGTTTTTAACTAAACCACTGAGATGATTTTATAGCTTAATTTTAAATCTGACAAAAGTTTAACGGTAAGTCTATTTCAACATCAGGTAAGACTTTAGTGTATGTCACATGTGAGCCACATACTGAATATAAAACAATCTAAACATGTTTTATAAGAGAAAAATCAGTAGCATAGTGCTTCATGGGAAATTAGTTACCTATTAATTTTTTTCCTGGTCCAAATCCTTTGTAAACACGCAGATGTCCGTGACAGACCAAAGATGTTAGCTTCATAGGGCAGTTGATAATATTAAGCTGAATGATGTGATTTAAAGGTGCCACTAACCACCATTGGCAACTAAGGCATAGGTGAAACAAAGTCAAAAGATTTCCAAACAGAATGTTTTGTTAGTTATTTTGCTCAGAAATTAATGCATCAATGTTATTGACTCTCAGTGAGAGTTAACTTTTATGTCGGTTTTGTTATGGTTGTGAGAGAAAAAGATTTGTACTTTAAATTATATCAACTCTAAAATATCTAATACCTAATTTGCCAAAATTTGTAAAGTTCATACATTTTGGTGAAAGGTTGACCAATTGTGTGCATTGTTTTACATTTTGATCGAACATTTATAAGATCTGAAGGACCTACATGTGCCAGAATTTGCCCCAAACTCCCACAAACCATTTATTATCTACTATGTGCCCAAATATTTTACATACATTTTATCAGTCCTTTGTAGAGATGTGAGAAAGTACAATTTACCAACAAGAACTTTCTTACATTGTTTTGTTTTGTTTCCATATTAAACGCCATAGATGAGGGGTTACCTAAGAGTCTATTTTTTATGGAAAACAGGTGAAGAATAATATTTTAAGCAAATATCAAATGTTTAAGTCAGTCTACTGATTTTTTTCCACACACTTCTTCCATCATAATAAACATTCCTTCCTTACCTCATAGTAGCTTTGTGAGAATTTCTTAGGATCTGCATGATCCCTGCTGGCTTAGTCAGAACAACATTCTCACAAGGGACCAAATGCTCTCTGTTTGAACTTTGGCGAAGTCTGGTTATTTTACTGTCTTTTGGACCTAGAAGAAAAGGAAGCAGAAAAAATGAGAAACATTTTTTTCCATTTTCTTTTTTTTTTTTTTAATTGTACTTTAGGTTCTGGGGTACATGTGCAGATCATGCAGGATTGTTGCATAGGTACACACATGGCAATGTGGTTTGCTGCCTCCATCCCCCTATCACCTACATCTGGCATTTCTCCCGATGTTATCCCTCCCTGACATCCCCACCCACCCTGCTGTCCCTCGCTTGGCTCCCCCCAACAGACCCCAGTGTGTGATGCTCCCCTCCCTGTGCCCATGTGTTCTCATTGTTCATCACCACCCTATGAGCGAGAACATGCATTGTTTGATTTTCCATTCTTGTGTCAATTTGCTGAGAATGATGGTTTCCAGATTCATCTATGTCCCTACAAAGGACACAAACTCATCATTTTTTATGGCTGCATAGTATTCCATGGTGTATATGTGCCACGTTTTCCTTGTCTAGTCTATCATAGATGGGCATTTGGGTTGGTTCAAGGTCCTTGCTATTGTAAACAGTGCCACTATGAACATATGTGTATATGTGTCTTTATAAGAGCATAATTTATAATCCTTTGGGTGTATGCCCAGCAATGGGATTGCTGGGTAAAATGGAATTTCTATTTCTAGGTCCTTGAGGAAGCATCACACTGCCTTCAACAATGGTTTAACTAGTTTACACTACCACCAACAATGTAAAAGTATCCTATTTATCCACATCCTCTCCAGCTTCTGTTGTCTCCAGATTTTTTAATCACCATTCTAACTGGCATAAGGTGGTATCTCAATGTGGTTTTGATTTGCATTTCTATAATAATCAGTGATGATGAGCATTTTTTCATATGTATGTTAGCCTTATATATGTCTTCTTTTGAAAAGTATCTGTTCATATCCTTCTCCTGCTTTTGGATGGGTTTGTTTTTTTCTTGTAAATCTGTTTTAGTTCTTTGTAGATTCTGGACATTAGCCCTTTCCAGATGAGTAGATTACAAAAATTTTTCCCATTCTGTTGGTTGCTGGTTCATTTTAGTGATTGTTTCTTTTGCTGTACAGAAGCTCTGGAGTTTAATTAGGTCTCATTTGTCTATTTTGGCTTTTGTTGCCAATGCTTTTGGTATTGTGGTTATGAATTCCTTGTCTATGCCTATGTCCTGAATGGTTTTGCCTAGGTTTTCTTCCAGGGTTTTTATGGTATTAGGTCTTATATTTAAGTCTTTAATCCATCTGGAGTTAATTTTAGTGTAAGGTGTCAGGAAGGGGTCCAGTTTCTGCTTTCTGCATGCTGCTAGCCAGTTTTCCCAACACCATTTATTAAACAGGGCGTTGTTTCCCCATTGCTTGTTTTTTCAGGTTTGTCAAAGATCAGATGGTTGTAGATGTGTGGCATTGCATTCAGGGCCTCTGTTCTGTTCCAATGGTTTATATCTCTGTTTTGATACCAGTACTATGCTGTTTTTATTACTATAGCCTTGTAGTATAGTTTGAAATTAGGTAGCATGATGCCGCCAGCTTTGTTCTTTTTGCTTAGGATTGTCTTGGCCATGAGAGCTCTCTTTTGCTTTCATATGAATTTTAAGGTGTTTTTTTTCCAGTTCTGTGAAGAAGGTCATCGGTAGCTTGAGAAGTATAGCATTGAATCTATAAATTACTTTGGGCACTATGGCCATTTTCACAATATTGATTCTTCCTACCCATGAGCATGGAATGTTTCTCCATCTGTTTGTGTCCTCTCTTATTTCCTTGAGCAGTGGTTTGTAGTTCTTCTTGAAAAGGTCCTTTACATCCTTTGTTGGTTGTATTCCTCAGTATTTTATTCTTTTTATAGCAATTGTGAATGGGAGTTTGCTCATTATTTGGCTCTGTGTTAGTCTGTTATTGATGTATAGAAATGCTTGTGATTTCTGCACATTGATTTTGAATCCTGAGACTTTGCTGAAGTTGCTTATCAGTTTGAGGAGATATTGGGCTGAGATGATAGGGTCTTCTAAATATACAATCATGTCATCTGCAAATAGAGACAATTTGACTTCCTCCTTTCCTAACTGAATACTCTTTATTTTGTTTTCTTGCCAAATTGCTCTGGCTAGAACTTCCAATACTATATTGAATAGGAGTGATGATAGAGGTCATCCTTGTCTACTGCCAGATTTCAAAGGGAATGCTTCCAGTTTTTGCCCATTCAGTTTGATGTTGGCTATAGATTTGTCATAAATAGCTTTTATTGTTTTGAGATACATAGTTCATTGAGAGTTTTTAGCATAAAAAGCTGTTGAATTTTGTCAAAGGCCTTCTCTGCATCTATTGAGATAATCATGTGGTTTTTGTCTTTGGTTCTGTTTATGAGGTAGATTATGTTTACAGACTTGCATAAGTTGAACCAGCCTTGCATCCCCAGGATACAGCCTAGTTGATCATGATGGATAAGCTTTTTGATGTGCTGTTGCAATTGGTTTGCCAGTATTTTATTGAAGATTTTTGTGTCTATGTTCATCATAGATATTGGCCTGAAGTTTTCTTTTTTTGTTGAGTCTCTGCTGGGTTTTGGTACCAGGATGATGCTGGCCTCATAAAATGATTTGGGAAGGATTCCCTGTTTTTGGATTGTTTGGAATAGTTTCAGATGGAATGGTACCAGCTCCTCTTTGTATGTCTGGTAGAATTCAGCTGTGAACCTGTCTGGACATAGACGTTTTTTGGTTGGTAGGCTGTTAATTGCTGCCCCAACTTCAGCCTTTGTTATTGGTCTATTCAAGGTTTCAACTTCTTCCTGGTTTAGGCTTGGGAGGGTGCAAGTGTCCAGGAATTTATCCATTTCTTCCAGGTTTACTGGTTTATGTGAAAAGAGTTGTTTGTAGTAATCTCTGATTGTAGTTTGTATTTCTGTAAAATCAGTGGTAATATCCCCTTTATTGCTTTTTATTTGCATCTATTTGATTCTTCTCCCTTTTCTTTTTTATTATTCTGGCTAGGGGTCTATTTTGTTGATTGTTTCAAAAAACCGGCTCCTGGATTTATTGATTGTTTTGAAGAGTTTTTTTGTGTCTCTATCTCCTTCAGTTCTGCTCTTAGTTATTTCTTGTCTTATGCTAGCTTTTGAGTTTTTTTGATCTTGCTCCTCTAGCTCTTTCAATTTTGACAACAGTGTCATTTCCTTGCTTCTCATGTGGGCATTTATTGCTATAAATTTCCCTCTAGACACTGCTTTAAATGTGTCCCAGTGATGCTGGTACATTTTGTCTTCATTCTCATTGTTTGCAGAGAACATCTTTCTTTCTGCCTTCATTTCATTGTTTATCCAGTGGACATTCAGGAGCCAGTTGTTCAGTTTTTATAAAGCTGTGTGGTTCTGAGTTAGTTTCTTAATTCTGAATTCTAATTTGATTGCCCTGTTTGTTATGATTTCCATTCTTTTGCATTTGCTGAGGAGTGATTTACTTCCAATTACGTGGTCAGTTTTAGAGCAGGTGTGATGGCGGTGCTGAGAAGAATGTATATTCTGTGAATTTGGGGTGAAGATTTTTGTTGATGTCTATTAGGTCCACTTGGTTCAGATCTGAGTTCAAGTCCTGGATATCTGTGTTAATTTTCTGTCTCATTGTTCTGTCTAATATTGACAGCAGAGTGTTAAAGTCTCCCACTATTATTGTTTGGGAGTCTAAGTCTCTTTATAGGTAATTAAGAACTTGCTTTATGTACCTGGGTGCTCCTGTATTGGGTGTGTATATATTTAGGATCATTAGCTCTTCTTGATGCATTGATCCTTTTACCATTATGTAATGCCATTCTTTGTCTCTTTTGATCTTTGTTGGTTTAAGGTCCATTTTATCAGAGACTAGAATTGCAACCCTGGCTTTCTTTATTTTTTCTTTCCATTTGGTTGATAAATCTTCCTCCATCTCTTTATTTTGAGTCTATGTGTGTCCTTGCACATGAGATGGAGTTCCTGGATACAGCACAGTGATGGGTCTTGACTTTTTATCTAATTTGCCAGTCTGTGTCTTTGATTGAGGCATTTAGCCCATTTACATTTAAGGTTAGTATTGTTATGTGTAATTTTGATCCCACCCTTTTGATGCTAGCTGGATGTTTTGCCTGTTAGTTGAGCCATTTTTTTTCATTGTGTCGATGGTCTTTACCATTTGGTACGTTTTTGTAGTGGCTGGTACTAGTTGTTTCTTTCCTTGGTTAGTGCTTCTTTCAGGAGCTCTTGTTAGTCAGGCCTGGTGGTGACAAAATCTCTCAGTAATTGCTTGTCCATAAAGGATTTTCTTTCTCTTTTGCTTATATTGCTTATTTGGCTGGATATGAAATTCTAGGTTGAAAGTCCTTTTCTGTAATGTTGAATATTGGTCCCCACTCTTTTCTGGCTTGTAGGGTTTCTGCTGTGAGATCAACTGTGAGTCTGTCTGATGGGCTTCCCTTTGTGGGTAACCTGACCATTTTCTCTGGCTACCCTTAGCATTTTTTCCTTCATGTCAACGCTGGTGAATCTGATGATTATGTGCCTTGTGGTTGCTCTTCTTGAGGAATATCTTTGTGGTGGTCTCTGTATTTCCTGGACTTGAATGGTGGTGTGGCTTGCTAGGTTGGGGAAGTTCTCCTGGATAATATCCTGAAGAGTGTTTTCCAGCTTGGATTCATTCTCTCCATTATATTTAGGTACACCTATCAAATGTAGATTAGGTCTTTTCACATAATCCCATATTCCTTTCTTTTCACTCTTTTTTCTCTATTCTTGCCTTCTTGTTTTATTTGAGTTGATCTTCAATCTCTGATATCCTTTCTTTTGCTTGGTCGATTTGGCTATTGAAACTTGTGTATGCATCTCGAAGTTCTTCTGCCATGTTTTTCAGCTCCATCAAGTTATTTGTATTCTTCTCTAAGCTGTTTATTTTAGTTAGCATCTCATCTAACCTTTTGTCTAGGTTCTTAGTTTCTTTGCCTTGGGTTAGCACATGTTCTTTTAGCTCTGAGAAGTTTGTTATTACCCACCTTCTGAAGCCTATTTCTGTCAATTCATCAGATTCATTCTCCATACATCTTTGATCCCTAGCTGGCGAGGAGTTGTGATCCCTTGGAGGAGGAGAGGCCTTCTGGCTTTTGGTGTTTTCTTCTTTTTGCACTAGTTTCTTCCCATCTTAGTGGCTTTATCTACCTGTGGTCTTGGTAGTTGGTGACTTTTAGATGCAGTCTCTGAGTGGACATCATTTTTGTTGACAATGAAGTTATTTCTTTCTGTTTCTTAGTTTTCCTTCTAATAGGCCCCTGTGCTGCAGGACTGCTGGAGGTCCACTCCAGACCCTGCTTGCCTGGGGATCACCCATGGGAGCTGCAGAACAGTAAGAGTTGCTGCTAGTTTCTTCTTCTATTATCTTTGTCCCAGAAGGGTGCCTGCCAGATGTCAGCCTGAGCTCTCCTGTATGAGGTGTCCCTTTGGGTATATGGGGGGTCAGGGAGCTGCTTGAGGAGACAGTTTCTTATAGGCACTGAAGTGCTGTGCTGGGAGCTACATTGTTGTGTGCAGAGATGCTGTGCAGATGCTTTTAAGTGTGCTGCAGTGGAACTCATAACTGCCTCTTTTTCCAGGTGCTCTGTCCTAGGAAGGTCAGCTTTATTTATAAGTTCCTCTCATGCTGCTGCCTTTTTTCATAAATGCCCTGCCCCACATGGAGTAGTCTAGTTAGTCTGCCAGCAGAGGTGTTGCTGAGCTGCTACAGGCTCTGCCCAGCTACTGTGTGAACTGCCTCGGTAGTAGCAGACTGCCTCGGTATTGGTGGTTGCCTTTCCCCATACTGAGTTGGACCATCCTGGGTCCAACTCTTAAGCCAGAGCATTTCAGATTGCTTGTTTTGTGGGGGTGGTACCTGCTGAGCCAGATTGCCTGGCTCCCTGTCTCTGCTCCCTCCCTTTCAGTTGAATGGGAGGCTCTGTCTCCCAGGTATTTGAGGCACCAGTTGCAATGGCTGCCCAGATTTGTGTGAGTTGCTGTGCACCAAACTGGCACCAGCTGAAACTGCTATGCTGAAAACGTGGTGCATTTTGGCTTGGGAATCTCCTGGTCTGTGGGCAGTGAAAATTTGTTTGGAAATGTGGTAGGCAGTCACCCTCTGCATTGTTCTTGCTGGAAACTGCACTCTGGAGCTGTTCCTTTCGGCCATCTTGGATCATCCCCCCCTAAAACCAGTTTTTAAACAGGCTTCCTGTAGCCTTTTCAGATCAAATAAGCAGCTCTATTCCCTCATTGTTCTAGGAAAGCAAGTAATTATTGGGAGGTGGTTCGTTTCACTGAAAAATCTCTCCCTCTTAAATATTCAAAAGATGTAGGAAACAAGCACATCTCCCAGAATGATCTCTGACATAGTCTTGGTTCTATGAAAGATTATAGGGAACAACTATAGAGAATACCTGTTAACTGCCTAATTCCATTTGAAGGCAGCATTCTTAATATATTCTTCAAAGAGAAAATTTTCATATGATACAAATATTTTATTACTCATTTAACTTTTTCCAAATGTACAGTATACACAGGTCTATAAAAATATATTATCAGCAATGCTTTTAGGTGTCAAGGGGAAAAACTAGCTTTCAGTTTTCTACATCAAGAATAAAAAATAAATCTTAACTAATTACATGTTCCAGAGTTCAATCTGACACCTCTGAATTACATCATTTATACTTATAGTGCTATAATCTATAATATTTGTGCGGTTTTCAAAACTTATCCTAATCTCTTATGATATCACTACAAAGAAAATTCTAATCAGCCAGTTTAGATTCAGAACCCAAAATCTTCTGAGCCACAAGAATTACTGCTGCAAAAAACATTCCTTGTGGTATAAAATCGCAACCACAGTCAAAAGTTATCTTGCAACCAACGTTATCTTGGCCATTTTCAGAAATCATATACAATTCAATCAAGTTATCCATTGAACAGTTTCCCTTTTGACCCTGATCAAATATTAGGTGACTTAAATAGATTTTGCTTTCAAACATATACTTATTTCCCCACAGAAACATAATTTCCTTCAAAATGCTGTATGCATTTAAGATAGTCCTAAATACAGTAGTATTTTTTTTAACCTTTATAAGTTTATAAAGTAACCAAATACCTAGGACTTTGAAGACAATACAGCTTATGCCAAGTGCACCTTGTACAAGAGAATGGAATGTCACCCTCACCAGTGGTCCAGGACTCATGAAAGTCATTGGGTAATGTCTTCTCCCACATAATCCACCTAGGTTAAAAAAGTAAACTCTAGTAAAAAATAAGAATGCAAATTTTAGAGCAGTTTCTATATTTTAGGCAGAGCACTTAATTTAACCCACAGGTTAGGAATTGACTCTATTCTGTAAAATGAGGAAACAGGACTCCAGAATACAAGTGACTCACTCAAAGTTACAAACTAGCAGGGTGGGAAGCTAGGATCTTCACCTCGGGTTCATGTATCCGATATTCATCATAATCTACTATGCTATAGCACTTCCTGAAGGACAGTAGGTAGTAAATTATTTTATCTTTAAAATGACCGTTGTGCCCTTTTTCTCCTAGAAAAGTAACCTACTTATTAAAAATATCTCACCATGAAGATTTATGATGGAAAAAATATCTACCTGAAAATTTATCATTTCCCTATCATCAGTCTTCTATTGATTGCTTTGAGAACCTAAGTCAAAGATAGAGGTGAAAATTATAATCATAATTCTAAAATGATTCAGAAGGATGATTAAGCATGTGTGGAAAGAACCTGTGAATTTCTTAGGATCAAACTCGTCTACATTAAGAATAATTCAGTATCATTTTGTAATATTTATTTAAATGTCACCTGCTCAGAAAGATATCTGCTGATTGTACTACATACAACTATGTGGCACCTATATCTGTGGTACTTCTTTTCTCCTTAGTTCTTCCATCTAAGATAGCATAGATTTAACTTATTATGTATCTTTTCCCTGCTAGAATATAAACTTGATAAGGGCAGAAAATTTTACTTTTTTCATTATTGGATCATCAGAACCAAGATGACTCGGTCCCTGGCCCATAGTAGGTATTTCACAAATATCTGTAGGGATGAAAGGAGGGAGGGGATTAGAGCCAAGAAAGAGAAAAGAAAAAGCATTTATTGTCATTTTAAAGTATATGGTGGTGAAATACTATGTGAAGAATGACCTAATATTTATTTGTAGCAAATAGAAGTGAATGTAACTTTTAAATGAATTGCTACCTTTAACAGGGAGAAATGGCATTTTACAGTAAAGAATGCTATACAACTTAAGTAAAGGATAATATTTCTATTACAGTCTTGCTGTTCTGCTAGCTATAATCTGAAGGAACAGAGCAATTCCACAAGGTTCAAGCTATTTCTAAAATTAAAGAAATCTTAGGTTGGAAAATTATAGGACTTCCTCAGTTAATCTACAATGAAGTCAAGCATGGTTTTTAATAGGCAATAATGATAAAGTCAAGTTTCCCCAGAAAATGGGTCTCCCTACATACAAATATAGGATATTATAGAAGTAGTGATATGAATTGAGGGGAAAAAAAGACTTTTTTTTTTTAAAGGAAGCAGGTATAGAGTCACTTTATCATATGAGAAAATATATTTCAGCATGATTTAAAAAGTTTTTTTTTAATTAAAGATTCTGACCTCAGAATGGAGAGTCAATTTTTAAGTATGAAAGCAATGAGATAAAATTCCAAGATCAAAGACATGTATGGATAGATTTAAACAAATAAATTAAAATTTTTATATTAACATAATAACACAAAGGCAAATGACAATACTAAGAATAAGCATTAAGAACAAATGAATGACAAAGGAAAGCATTAAGGATAAACCTAATGACAACATATTAAGAATAAATATGATAAAGGAAAAATATCTTTGTATTATAAAGCAATAAAAAGAACATGCAAATTTTAAAAATAAAAGATAATGGCAATTTTTTAGAAAACAAGCTGTACACAGTAGCACATGCCAGGTATTTGGGAAGCTGAGCTAGGAGAATCTTCTGAGCCCAGGAATTCAAGGCCAGCCTGGGCAACCTAGGGAGACAATGTCTTAAGACAAATAAAAACAAAATCAAAAAAGAAATTATCTCCATTAATGATTATTTTTAAAGGAAAATTCCCTTTTAAATTAACATATTAGGTTTTGGGCATGGTAAAAGACGATCCTAGGCACTGCTAATGGTAGTGAACAGTAAGATAGCCTTTCTGAAGAGTAATTTAACAAATCTTCATACAAAAAAACAAACTCAGCATAAATGTATGAAAAAGAAAATATTCCAAGTTCTTAGGTGTGGACCTCATTTGGAAGTATAGAGAAAGGAACAGATGGCAAGGTCTCTGCTCTCATGAAGCTTTCATTTTAGGTAAATGAAGATGGTTTCATAGAGAGATCAAAGCTACTGATGAAATGAAAGCCAATGTAAGAGACAATGACTGTGGAAAGGAATGGAAGATGCTACTTTAGACTGAAGAGCCCTGTTTGAGGAGGTGACTATTCTTGCGTTCACTTATTTATGAAGTATCTTCTATATGTCAGGCATGCTCTAGGCACTAGGACTTCTTGATATACACAGGCAAAAGTTCCAGCTCTCATGAAACTCACATTCAATAGAGAAGACACAGATAAACCATAATCATGGAAAAAAATCATAATGTGTTAGATTCTAACCTTTTAACCCAGGATCCCAATGTTTTTGGCACCAGGAACCGGGTTTGTGGGAGACTATTTTTCTACAAACAGTGGGAGGGATGGTATTGGGATGAAACTGTTCCATCTCAGATCATCAGGCATTAGATTCTCATAAGGAGCACACATCCTAGATCCCTCGCATGTGCAGTTCACATTCCTATGAGAACCTAATACTGCCACTGATCTAACAAGAGGCTAAGTTCAGTGGGTAATGCTTTTCCGTTGCTCACCTCCTGGTGGGTGTCTCAGTTCCTAACAGGCCATGAGTTGGTACTAGGTGGGAGACCCCAGTGTTAGAAGATAGTAACTGCTCTAAGTAACGGGAACTGAGAAGTATGGAAGCAGGGGTATGATGCAACTTACATCAGTCAAGCTTGGTCTCATTAAGAAGGTAACATTCTATCAACAATTGAAGGACATGAGGCATGAGAATGAGAAAGAGCTCTTTGAAGTGCTGGAAATAGACAGACAATGGCCCCAAGGTGAGAATGAGAGGTATTGGGAGCTGTGAGCTGAGGGAGAAGGACTCTTCTGGGGAGTGTGAATTTTATTCCAGGTGCAAGAAGCCCTGGAGCAGTTTTAATCAATGGGGATGGAGGAGGTGATCTGATTCTAGGGGGAAAATGTGCCAAGCAGATAGGCTAATTAGTCACTGTGGTCTAAATTAGACTGTACTTATAAAGATTCTTTAAGCACACATTTTTGCTTTCTAACCCAGTAATTTCATCTCTCAGAGTTTATTCGGAGAAAACAATCTCACCCTCAGAGCAGTTTCCCTGGCCTCTATGCACTTTGGAATCATGCATAAGTATATACCACACACACACGCACAATGACATACACAAGCTTATTGTCTTTCCAGATCTCCCTATTGACCAAATTTTTTCAATCACCTTCCCACCTCCCTCCCTACTGCAAGCCAAAAAGCTTTCATCACACCTGTGCAAACAAGAGTAGGCAAGTTTGTTTTGTTGAACAAAAACAGGTTTCTCTGTGCATGAAATGAAAAATGAGGGCTGGCATGTTTTCAGCAGATCTTTCAATCCTGCCACTTTAAAAGCCTTTAATATCTTTTGCTTTATTTTTAATTCATCTTCCTCCCCTTCTGACTTGCTCTTTTACCATATAACAATATATATTCTTCCAGCATTCTGGCATGGTTCTGCTATGTTTGAAAAAGTTGAACCCTCTTGCCTTTTCTCCCCTCCCTACGTGCACACACACACACACACTCTCTCTCTCTCTCTCTCTCTCTCTCTCTCTCTCTCTCTCTCTCTCTCTCTCTCCACATTAAGTATATTTGCTTTTTAAATTCAAAGCATTTGAAAATGTTAAGGGGTTTTTTTTTTTTCTAATTCTGCGAAGAAAATCAATGGTAGCTTGATGGAGATAGCACTGAATATATAAATTTCTTTGGGCAATATGGCCATTTTCATGATATTGATTCTTCCTTTCCATGAGCAAGGAATGTTTTTCCCTTTGTTTGTGCCCTCTCTTATTTCCTTGAGCAGTGATTTGCAGTTCTCATTGAAGAGGTCCTTCACATCCCTTGTAAGTTGTATTCCTAGATATTTTGTTCTTTTTATAGGAATTGTGAATGGGAGTTCATTCATGATTTGGCTCTTTGTTTGTCTGTTACTGGTGTATAGGAATGCTTGTGAAAAAAGAGCCTGGATAGCCAAGACAATCCTAAGCTAAAACAACAAAGCTGGAGGCATAAAAGCCCTAGAAGAAAACCTAGGCAATACCATTCAGGACATAGGCATGGGCAAAGATTTCATGACTAAAATAACAAAAGCAGTGGCAACAAAAGCCAAAATAGACAGATAGGATCTAATTAAACTAAAGAGCTTCTGCACAGCAAAAGAAACTATCATCAGAGTGAACAGGCAACCTACAGAATGAGAGAAAATTTTTGCAATCTAACCATCAGACAAAGTGCTAATATCCAAAGTGCTAAGGAACTTAAATTTACAAGAAAAAACAACCCCATCAAAAAGTGAGTGAAGGATATAAACAGACACTTCTCAAAGGAAGACATTTACGTGAACAACAAACATGAAAAAGAAAGTTCATCATCACTGGTCATTAGAGAAGCGCAAATCAAAACTGCAACGAGATGCCATCTCATGCCAGTTAGAATGGCGATCATTAAAAAGTTAGGAAACAACAGATACTAGAGGATGTGGAGAGGCAAGGGGCCCCCGCGGGCGGGACGAGAAGAGCGGTCCCACTCACCAAGAATGTCCGTCCCTCGCCCACCGCGGATCGGTCGCGGCCCGGGAGAGCGTGACGTCACCACATCGATGAGGATGTGGAAAAGCAGGACATTGTTGGGGGGAGTGTAATTGTCTTTCAACATTGTGAAAGACAGTGTGGTGATTCCTCAAGGATCTAGAACTAGAAATACCATTTGACCCAGCAATCCCATGACTGGGTATATACCCAAAGGATTATAAATCATTCTACTATAAAGACACATGCACACATTTATTGCAGCACTATTTACAATAGCAAAGACTTGGACTTGGAACCAACCCAAATGTCCATCAATGATAGACTGGTAAAAGAAATTGTGGCACATATACACCATGGAATACTCTGAAGCCATAAAAAAGGATGAGTTCATGTCCTTTGCAGGGACATGAATGAAGCTGGAAATCATCATTCTCAGCAAACTGACACAGGAACAGAAAACGAAACACCTCATGTTCTCACTCATGAGTGGGAGCTGAACAATGAGAAATGGGGGCTGTGGGAGGGATAGCATTAGGAGAAATACCTAATGTAGATGACAGGTTGATGGGTGCAGCAAACTACCATGGCACATGTATACTTATATAACAAACCTGCACATTTTGCACATGTATCTCAGAACTTAAAGTATATTTTTTTAAAAAAAGAAAATGTTAAGGTTGCTTACAAGGGAAAAAGCATTCCTATTACATGGATCAACATTTTGGTGGCATTGTTACCAAGTCAGACTCACTCCTGATCATAAGCCGCCTACACGAACAAGACTCCTAGCACCAAGTTTATATGCCAGGAAAGATTTACCTGCCATCTTTCTCTTTCTGGGTCTTTCTTCATAAATAATTAGAACTGAGTTTCGACACACAGGAGACCCCAGGAGTGACAGATACTCAACGGTAAATTTTGCTATACTGCTTGGTGAAACTCGGAGCACCCAAGAACATTCCAGTCTTCCTCTGGAATTCAGTGGATATTGTGGAATGGGAAAAAATCCTCTGAGCTTTTCTAGCTCTGCTTCAGAGCAACAACCTGCAATTCAGAACACATAGACACCAGGGACCAACATAAACAAGGCAAAGTAAAAAAGTTCTATCACAAGACTGAAAAACCTAGGCTTGCAAGAAGAAAGTTGAGACTTTGTTTCTGTCAGTTACAAATTATTCTGTTAAGAAAATTCCATTTAATGTGTCTTATTTTCTTGAAATAATATTATAGAGGTATAATTTATATCCCAATTATTTTGATTTAATTTTTAATGAATTTTTTTAAAGTTTCTTAGAAAATACACAGTTCCCAGCAGGTTTTCATTTCCTTCCTTCTTTGAGATGCACCTGAAGACCTGTTCCTAAAAGCTTCACTAAATTAGCTGAGCTTGCTGGGACAAATGATTACATTCATTTGAACTTGTAACTGAGGTCATGAAAAAGATCATTTTCTGGATATATCGAGATGTCTCACTTCTTCAGCTTGCTAAGTCCAAGGCCATCTTTGGACCTTCAGGACACCTGCTGCAGTTTGGATGCCAGTTTTTTCCTGACCCACTGACTCAGCAACCATCTTCTCTTATATCCTCATCTGGGCTTCATCCTTAACTCTTTCTTCTCCTTTATGTCTATTGCTTTGACAAAAACTTTCGGAGAAATTAAAAAGAAATATTCTATGTTCATATTTTAATGTATGTATTAGTGAATACATACATTACTATGCATGGTCTGTCCTAGAGGAATTAATACAGTAACTGAGGAGGAGGTACGTAAACATGCTTTTATTAACAGGAGAAGTGACAAGTGGAATAAGGGAAATGAAGTGCTATAGAACTTTAGCATTCTACTCCATTGTTTGGTTCTCTGCCATTTCTTTGTTAGTCCTCTTTTTTATCTATATGGCTACAAGAATCTAATCAGATATTTACTGTTTTGATATAATAGTAAACTAAATGATCTTTCAGCCTATAATCTTCCCTCACTATGCCCTACCAACGGGGAATGGTGTATAAAACAAAAAAAAAAATCAACTTGTTTTCCTGCTGAAAGCAACTAACATAGTCCAGCTCGCAAGATCTTTCCATCGGGCCCCAACCTGTCTTTCTAATCTTTTTAGTTTTCCTCCCTCTCTATAGGAATCCCCTGTGACAAATCTGACCGGAAATCACATAGAGCCATGAATTACCAACAAGTCAAGACTTTTAATGGGAGTAACAATCTGAAGAAAGCTAAGATTCATTAATTCCTCAGTGTGAAAAGTAAGTGGCAGGAGTGGGTGGGTGTTAAATGTGGCATGGTCCTAACAACTTGTCTCCTAAAATAATCATAGAATGAAAACAAAGCAACACCCTTCTGTATATAAAACTTTCAAAGTTCTTTGGCATGCATAACTATTTCTGAATGTATATAAAGGAGAAACAATTTCTTTACATTTTAAGAATGTTCTTTTTTGTTTTGTTTGCTTTGAGACAGACTCGCACTGTCACCCAGGCTGGAGTGCAAGGATGCGATCTTGGCTCACTGCAGCCTCCATCTCCTGGGTTCATGGGGTTCTCCTGCCTCAGCCTCCCATGTAGCTGGGCTTACAGGCACACACCACTACACTCAGATAATTTTCTGTATTTTTAGTACAGACAGGGTTTCACTGTATTGTCCAGACTGGTCTCAGACTCCTGACCTCGGGACCTGCCAGCCTTGGTCTCCCAAAGTGCTGGGATTACAGGCATGAGCCACTGCGCCCAGCCACAATGTTCATTTTCTAACAGCCTGATTGAAATCATTTGAAAAATACATTAGATGGCAGTATCATCACCATTTATGGACCCTTATCTCAGATCAGACCCTCCTTGTTCTAAGTGCATTACGTGGATTAACCTATTTAGGCACTCACTGAATTCATTCATTTCATTCAGTCCATTGAAATCAATAGTTTTTAGGATCTTGAACCCAAGTCTGCTCTCTGTCTCAATCCCAAGTCCAGGTTTACTTTTACCTAACTCTGCATATCTTTTACTCTTTGACTCATGTTGCCAGACAAATGGTCCTGGGTCCACTCCTCATTCCTGGAATGTTTGAGCAGTCATTTTCTCCAACACTTTTCTTGTCATAGTTCTTTCTGATTTCAATCACTATACACATGATGATTCCAGCACTGAAGTTTTCAGCTCCTCAGCTTTCCTCCAATGATCTTGTCTTGCACCTGACCTCAGCCACTTATCTTTATGGTCAGCCCTTAGACAATTGATCAATAGCAATAACTTGAAGCCTTCTGTAATCTCAGTTTCAGGAACCATTTTCTCCAACCACAATCTTCCATCTTTTCAGCCTCCCTTAATACCCCTTCCACCTTTTGGGACCATAATTTACCTATTCTACCACCTTACCTTTGTCCCAAACAAATCTCTCATCCTTATTTCACTTCTTACCTATCCTAAATTCCAATGATCCATCATTTCAACCATTTCCTCACATACACTTTGAATTCCCTTATTACCCTCACATACTTGGGAACACTCCACTTTGATTAAATCCATGCTCCACCTACTCTGCACCTCAGTGTCTCCAGAGGAAGATACACAACTAAGCTAACTGGGGGTTTTCTGCTCTCTTCTCTCAATTTATGATCATTCATCTCAGGGGACCTTTATGCTCCCAAGCAATTCTACTATATCTTTCTATTCACTATGGCATTTTCTAGAAAAACATTTCATCCTTTTTTCTCTTAAAAATCAAACTTTCTTGCACAACCCCTCCTTTCATCTGCTAAAAAAGAAAAAAGAAGAAGAAGCAATCAATCAGAAGAGAAATTCCACAAGCTCCAATCCTCACCTATACCCATGCACCTCATACCTGCATGGGCGCCTCCAGATCCTGCCTTCCATCCATTAACCATAGATGAAGTGTATGTTGCTCCTATCTAAGACCATCCCCTCCTTTTGGGCACTAGATCCCATCTTCTTTCTTCTACTCAAAGTTATCACTCTTAGAATTCTTTTTATCTTACATTTTCTTTTAACTCTTTGTAGTTGTTTACTGGGGTCGAGTATATTGGGGAAGGGGAAAATGTGGGTTACAAAGGAAAGACTGACCATTTGGAAACCAAGAGTGATGATAAAATAGAACTTCCAGCCAGGTGCAGTGGCTCATGCCTGTAATATCAGCACTTTGGGAGCCAAGGTGGGCAGATCATGAGGTCAGGAGAGGGAGGCCATCCTGGCTAACACAGTGAAACCCTGTCTCTACTAAAAATACAGAAAATTAGTGAGCGTCATGGTGGGCACCTGTAATCCAAACTATTCTGGAGGCTGAGGCAGGAGAAAATTGTTTGAACCCAGGAGACATAAGTTGCTGTGAGCTGAGATTGCACCACAGCACTCCAGCCTGGGTGATGGAGCAAGACTCTGTCTCTAAATAAAGGAATAAATGAATAAAATAGAACTTCCATCTTTCTGCAAGTCTATTACAGATATCTAATCCTCCAGTTGCTGTTAGTTTTGACTAAAAATCAAAATCCTATTATCAAACAGACAATGAGATCTGTGGAAGAATTAAGAAAAATTCTAATGCTGATGCCAGTCTTGGTCATCTCATACCCAGAGTCTTTACCTAGCAAGATACTTGCATATAGAAGGACTTTTGTTCAGGTATAAGTAAACAGCTCGGAGTTTAAAATAATTCTATGTAGTTCTCCAATATTCAAGCACTTGTTCACAACCACAAGAGTTTTTAAAAATCTGCAATAGGTCCAGCTTTGGGGTGGAAATGAAATCATAATAACTACCCCCACTTTCAGCAAAAACTACCAACCAGAAGGAAAATGCAGAGGCTATAGTGGTCCACAGAAAATTTAGCAAAGTTAGATAGACAATGCTTTTTGTCAGAAAGTATTAATGGGATAATGTGAACATTTATTACCTGGCCAAGATGCACTGTCTGGCAAAGGTGCGGGCAGTGGCAATTGCTGTTTTAAGGTTTTGCACTTATTTGTCTGAAGTGAAGCAGGACCTGTATTTGGGGAGAACTTGTTAAAAATAAAGATGAAAGCCCGAGGACAAAATATAGTTGGCATCAAAACAGCCACTACCAAAAGAAATCCAGGATTAAGGCGGCTTTGGGAAAAGTCGGTTTTACTCTAACTCTACAAATGAGAGAACTTACTTTGCAGAATCTTGCATTTTAGTGTGTTTAGTAACTAAATGAAATTCTACTCTATGGTTTTCTCTTTCATGTTAATTTATACCACACTCACTGTTCCCAAACCCATTCTAACGAAAGAGGTATTGTTTTAATAACATCTAAAAACAATTTACCATTGATTTTGGATTGGATCCAGTCCAAGAAGACCATCACTCTGGCAAAGATACCCGGCTTCCATGGCTGGACACAGCCAGCTCCCCAGCTGACAATGCCATAGAGGACAAAGGGACCATTTTCATGTCTACATACTAGTGGTCCACCAGAGTCTCCCTGAAACACCAAGAAAACATGTTCCAGAAAACTGCTTTAATCCAAAGCTCCTGCTTTTAATTTTTAGAAGAACAACAACTAATAATGTGTTTGTAATGTGTTTAATTTCTTAAAGATTTGGTCTTTGTCAATTTGCATCTTTACATACTGTGTATTCACTGTTTTGCAAAAGGAAACAAAATTTGTGAACAATCAAATGGTAATTGGATTCCAGGGTGGAGAAAAAGCCTAGTTCACATAATGAGAAAACAATTACTAAGTCTTCCCAGCCCCATCAGAAGGACATAGTCTTTAAATAATATCAATTAGTAAAACTGTAATATTTAAGATTTCAAGCTACATCTTTTTAAAATAAAAATTTAATTAGAAAACTGCACAGTGCTCAAATGAATTCAACACAAGAAATGGGCTGCCTTTTTTTTTGGAAATTGGGTTAGGATCATTGGGTGATAAACTCTATAGGTAATGTTTTCCCTATCACTGGTCACTCGTGAAACAATCTATTCAGATCAAAGTGTAGAGTTATGACATACAGAGAAACTAGGGTGTTAATGGTGAGGTAAAAAAAAACCTTAGAGGTTGATTTATATCTATTAAAAGATATTCATGGCTTGGTGCAGTGGCTCATGCTTGTAATCCCAGCACTTTGGGAGGCTGAGGTGGGTGGATCATGAGGTCAATAGTTCAAGATCAGCCTGACCAACATGGTGAAACCACGTCTCTACTAAAAATACAAAAATTAGTCAGGCATGGTGGTGCACCTGTCCAGCTACTCAAGAGGTGGAGGCAGGAGGATCGCTTGAACCTGGGAGGAGGTTGTGATGGTGAGCTGAGATGCCATCACTGCACTACCACCTGGGTGACAGAGCAAAACTCTTTCTTCAAAAAAGTATTTTAATTCTAGTATTATAATTTTATTTTTGCTTACTTGCAGATTGCAAAATTAAACAATTTCAAAAAATTTAAATGCTGAGCTAATTTAACTTCCTGGGATATTAGATGTGAAAAATTTTAATTAGAGAAATAAGTGACCTGTCCTATTTCACACACATGGGTAGTAGCAGCTGTGAAATCGGAGCCCATGTCACCTGCTAAAATTCAATGGTCTTTCCTTTCCACCAAACTGATAAATGTTTATTAATGGAACTACCTTAAACAAGTCTAGTAGTTAGCTTATACAACTACTGAATTCAAGGAAAGACACATAGAAATTTAACTTGCAGTTATTTTTATGGTCTTAGATATGGCTGCTTTGGTCATGATTAAACATTATTTCAAAATGTAAAATACTACCCCAAAAGCACCAAGAAGTTCACGTAGATGGAAGTGTCTCTTTTTAATATTCCTCTCAATATTTGCATTGTTTAAATGGACAGAGTATAAGCAGAAAGATTTTGAAGAAAACAGTGGTATTGTTATTAAGGGAACCAAACTATGTACATCACACATATTCATCTATTAATTAGCACTAACATCTTCTACATGTCTCTTCAGGTTCAATGTGAAAATCGATGGCAGCACAATATGTGCCCTTGTTTATGTCTCTTACTATTTACAACATGTGCCCATTTGACGGTAAGCATTGCATCTTATTCAACTTTGTATCCCAGGAAACCTACCACAATACCCAGTGCATAATACATGCTAAGTAAAGGTTTGCTTAATTTACAGTGAAATTTTATAAACGATATACATCAAAGCAAGCCTTAATACATAGGATTTTCATTTTTTTAGAGTAGGCTTTCCAATTTTTAATCAGGTCTTTTGCAGGAAGTAAATGGACACAAATGTATTTAGGACAAAACTAAGTCCTTTGTCTTCTTATAAGATAAATTGTGTTGACAGAACACATTTGAAACATCTATTTTATATAAAGAATTTAACAGAAGAAACCTTAAGTTGGGAGAAAAACACATTACTGTATTTCTTTTGTCCCAACTTAAGGTTTCTTCTGTTAAATTCTGTAATGTAGAACAATTATCATTTCCTCTGGGCCTAATTTTTTTACATAATGATTATACTTAAGACCCCCTTCCAGTTGGACAATTGTCTGATGTATCTAGGCAAGTGTTTTGTTTATTTAAATCATTGATTTTTTTCAGTACCAACATATAGCCAATACATAATTTTTCAGGCAATTACAAACATTCCAGAATATAGGGAACCTCTAATTTATCTCTTTTTGCTTATCATATGGTCTAGCCCATGGTAAATATTCAGAAAACAAATGAACATTCTTTATTAAAAATTTATTTTATGCTGTGAGCCAGACATACCAAGTAAGACAGAGTATAAGCAAATAAGATGGTAATAGTAGCTATAAAGGAAATACTCAGAGTGAAGGTAGAGAATAAAGGTAGGTATATATTTGTGTTTACATGTGCATGTATGTGTATGCAGTTTCAATAACATTTGAGCTAATACATAAACGATGACAAGGAGCCAGCTTTCCAAAAACCTGGATGAACATTTTATGAAAAAGATATATCTTGGCTAAGACTCTAAGACAGTCAAGACATGGCCAGTTGGGAGGTTAGAAGGCAATCAGTGTGGCTGAGGACGTATATTATTCTGTGAAGACAGAGATCTATGACTTTGCAGATGAAAAGAAGTTAGAAAAAGTAGCAATGACATTCTTCAAAGAAATAGAAAAAATAATCATAAAATTTATTTGGGACTGCAAAAGACTCAGAATAGCCAAGCCGTCCTGAGCAAAAATAACAGAATTGGAAGAATCACATTACCTGACTTCAAATTGTACTACAAAGCTATAGTAATCAAAACAGTACAGTACTGTCATAAAAACAGACTTGCAGAACAATGGAACAGAATAGAAAACCCAGAAATAAATCCATACATCTTCAGTGAACCCATTTTTTTGGTCAAAGGTACAAAAAATACATTGGGGAAAGGACAGTTGCTTCGATAAATGGTTCTGGGAAAACTGGATGTCCTTATACAGAAAAATGAAAGTAGACCCCTATTTCTCACCATTTGCAAAAATCAAATCAAAATGGATTAAAGACTCAAATCTAAGACTTCAAACTATGAAACTAATAAAAGAAAACACTGAGGAAACTTTTAGGACATTGGACTGGACAAAGATTTCTTCAGTAATACCCCACAGGCACAGGTAACCAAAGAAAAAATGAACAAATGGGATCATATGTTAAAAAGCTTCTGCACTGCAAAGGAAACAAAGCCAAAAGACAACCTTTCTACAAAGTACTCATCTGACAAGAGATTAATAACCAGAATATATAAGGAGCTCAAATAACTTTATAGAAAAATCTAATAATCTGATTTTATTAATGGACAAAAACTCTGAACAGACATTTCTCAAAAGAAGACATAAAAGTGGCAAACAGGTATATGAAAAGGCGCCTAACTTTACTGATCAGAGAAATGCAAATCAAAACTATGTTGAGATATTATCTCACCCCAGTTAAAATGGCTTTTATCCAAAAGACAGGCAATAACAAATGCTTACAAGGATATGGAAAAAAAGAGAACCAATGTATACTATTGATGAGAATGTCAATTAGTACAACCACTATAGAGATTAATGTGGACTTTCCTCAAAAAATAATATAAATACAATTGATATAACAATCCTACTCCTAGGTATATGCCCAAGGGAAAGGAAATCAAGATATTGAAAAGTTATCTGCACCCCCATGTTTACTGCAACACTATTCACAATGGCCAAGATTTGGAAGCAGCCTAAGTATCCATCAACAGATGAACAGATAAAAGAAAGTGTGGTGCATGTACACAATGGAGTACTACTCAGCCATACAAAAGAATGAGATCCTATCATTTCCAACAACATGGATGGAGCTGGAGGTCATTATGTGAAGTGAAATAAGCCCAGCAAAGAAAGACAAACTTTGCATGTTCTCATTTATTTGTGGGAGCTAAAAACCAAAACATTGTAGCTCATGGAGATAGAGTAGAGAAAAATGGTTTCCAGAGGCTAGGAAGTGGGGATTATTAATGTGTACAAAAAACTATAATGGGCCGGGCGCAGTGGCTCAGGCCTGTAATCCCAGCACATCGGGAGGCCGAGGCGGGTGGATCACGAGGTCAAAAGATTGAGACCATCCTGGTCGCAATGGTGAAACCCCGTCTCTACTAAAGATATAAAAAAAAAATTAGCTGGGCCTGGTGGCGCGTGCCTGTAATCCCAGCTACTTGGGAGGCTGAGGCAGGAGAATTGCCTGAGCCCAGGAGGCGGAGGTAGCGGTGAGCCGAGATCCCTCCATTGCACTCCAGCCTGGGTAACAAGAGTGAAACTCCGTCTCAAAACAAACAAACAAACAAAAAAAAACTATAATGAAAAAAATCTAGTATTTGATAGTACAACAGGGTAACTATAGTCCATAATAATTTAATTGTACATTTAAAAATAAAATAGTATTAGATTGTCTGTAATACAAATGATAGATACACCATTTACCCTATGTGATTATTATTCCTTGTATAGCTGTATGAAAAATCTCATGTCCCCCATATAATATATATACCTACTATATACCCACAATATTAAAAATTTTAAAAAGAAACTAGAATTTAAAAATATGAAATCCAGTTAGCAAAGAACAGTAGGATACTACATTGCATATCTGAAAACAGCATGTCTCTGCATTCCAATATTATTATGCCTACCTTCCTGAATGAGAAGGCACATTAGCAGGTCTATTATCTATAAGGATACACAAGAGAATAAAAATCAATTACCTGATAGAAATATTAGAGACTATTTTACCAAAACAAGTTTCTAAAGTCACCCTTTTAGTAACTCAGTGTACTTTGTAATAGAAAGCTAGTCATATTTATTAGAATCTAAGCTTCTAGTTTTCTTCCTATGTATGGGCAGTAAATTCGATCATGCTGCAGCCAAAGTGACAGTTTTATATAACTGAAAAAATAAGTGCCAACTGAGATCATGATATTGAGGTCACCCGTGACATCGACCTTTCTAAGATCCTCTCAAATTCTTTTTCTTTCCATACAGTTTACACTGTAATGTTAGTTGCTGTCAAATATGTAAAAGACAACAGACTTAGTTGTGATTTTCTTGTTGAAGAAAGAAAAGCCATCCCTCAAATCCTACAATAGACTAAAGGGAAGAATTAACATATTAATTCAGACTACTTTTGTGATTTTTATCAGATAACATTTATGTACTCTAGGAGATAGCAGGAGTGCACCTCCTATATTCCTCAGATCTTCCAGCCCATGTGCTGGCTCTGTGCCTGCAATCTTCCCCATTCTCTACTCCACCCATGAGGCAATCCTAAAGTATGGGAAATCCTAAGGGATTAACCGCCAGCTCCCACAGCAGCCCTCAAACTATGGCTCCAGGGAAGATAGTACATAAATATCCCAGCTCCCTCACCCCTCAGATGGATAAATCGACCACGTGTACTTGGCATCACTGCCCTGAGTTTCCTGTAGGATTAAGCTTTAGGCCCTCTCTATTGCAGATGGCTTAATAATGCATTGTAGATTGGCTGCCTTCCCTTTCCTGTACCCTCTCCTCTCTTTCCTACCAGTGATTATCTATAATTCCTAAAACATACCATTGTACCTGAATCCTTGTCTCAGGGACTCCTTCTGGGGAATGCAAATGAAGATATGCAAAATTAAAACAGAATGTAAGCAATGCTTGACACCATAAAAGTAAGGTGTTAATGACAATAAACTTATATTCAGTGTTAAAGGGGACATCATCCACTCTCTCATATTTTCACATGGAAGGATATCCACTTAGATTAATGCAACGTTGTTTCTCCCTCATGGAGGTGAAATCTGTTGCTTCATGTTTCTTGACTTATTGATGGGGAAAACTACTGAAGAGCTGCAGAAACTAAAGATTGTTCTTCTTTCCTTTTTACCCCAGACCAGTGGGAGTGATAAGTCTGGGGGATTTTGGCTGCCCTACGGACTCAAACTTTCCCTTAGGTGGGTAGCCCCAAAATCAAACCACGGATTAGAGTTGGGCACACAGAGTGTTAGAAACTCTTAGCTCGTTTGTATATCTAAACACACGTTCCTCTATTGACTTTGTGAGCATTAAAGCTGGCATTCTACATCTGTTCATTCCTATTCTTGTTCTTAGCTGATTATGAACTTGCCATTATCAAGCTTGTCCAATGCACATCTTTGTGATTATTTTAATTTGTGGTAGAAAATTAACAGAGTACAGAGATGAATGATAATTTAACCTGATAAAACTTTTAGGTCATAAGTAGGACACATAAGTTTAGAACTTTTATCTCTTTTTCCTTTTCCCAAAGCCTACATAATTATACCTGAACACATCTTTCCTTGCTCGGGCCTGCTTAGAAGCTCTGCCATTTCCTACCTACTCACCAGCTCCTCTATGAAGCCACTGTCCTTTCTCCTTTTTCACTATACAGCTGCTTCTGGCCACTCTCTGACATCTCAGCAAATTTGGGTTAATTCACTTATGCTTTCTGTTGCCCCTCTGGTCTTCATGCAGGGATGTGATATTTGAAGCACAGGACAAGTTGGTGGCTTCAGCAGTGGTTTCTCAAGTCTATAGACACTCTCCAGCAGACGGCAATTTTCTGCCTTCCTGTATAAAACCAGAATCCTCTCACCTGACAGAAATTTTTCTCTCCAGATGTGGCAAAGCCAGCACAGATCATCTTCTCTGTGATCCCTCCTGGATGTGCAGAATAGTAAGTGTATTCACAGACCTTGCTTTCTAACACATGCACTCGAATCTGCTGTAGGCGACTTGCTAGGCCACCATCTAATGAAGCAACATTCAGAGAGAACTTGGTGAAGTAAGCAGCAAGGGATGTTAGAAATATATTTAAGTTCAGATTTAGCTCTGTCCCAGCATAACTGCAGTCATTCAGTTTGGCCTGAGCTGATGTAGAATACTCAATTTAAAAAACACAAGTGTTTTATGTAACATGTCTTCATTTCCAGATTTGGTATTTTTGTAAAGAGAGGCCATTGGCAGGAGAATAAAACCAGAAACACTTTTTTCTAGCTTATTTTCAATTTAAATGTTAATATATCAAATATTTCTGCATAAGAATTCAGGAAGAGAAATTCAGCAAGATATGAATTGGTGCTATATGACACACAATTATAAATATATGGTTATATATTTACAAAAATATTTGCTTAAGAATATGCTTATGATTTCCTAATATAAACAAAAATCATAATCCTGTTTTTCTTCTACTGTCATTGAAGCCTAATTGCATCTCAATTTAAGATAACATGAAATAATTTCTTTTCATAGTTGATCCTTATGCAGGCCTGTGTTAACATGTATTTTTCATGACCATTCTATAATTTTAGATTTATGGCCAATTTTTTTAAGTTTAATATTTTATAGCCCTATACCTTTTAGGTCAGTATTAATAACAACTACTTTAAATGTATTTAGTACCTTAATATTTATGAAGATTTTATTCTAACCCAATAATACAACAATATTTTTCATATGTGAGATCAGGTTAATCACACTGATCTCACATATGAAAAAGCCAGACCTCTGAAAATTTGATCTCACAGCTCTTATGGGACAGAACTAGGCTCAAGCCTAAATTCAAATCTAAATCTCGCATTCTTCTTAATATACTAAAAATCCTCTTCTCAGGGACCATCTCCCTTTGTGTGGCTGACCATATCCCAAAAAATTAACATTCATTTCCTTTCCTAGTTTCAAAGAATAAATGCATCTTTTATAAGACTAACCACCTCTCAGTTGCCTGGCAGTCATGGAATTAGTAAAAGTCAAAGGTGTTAGAGAGCAGGCACATTTATTCAAGGGCTTTGAAGCTGGTAAGCCAAAAAATGTTTACTGAATGGCATGTATGCTTCTAGCCCTGGGGAGAGAGTGGCCAATGACAGCCTCTAAGAGGCTGTCAGTCTAGTGGGCGAGATGTAGAAGATGACTGCATGAAATCATGCCAAGTCCATTAACGTGCAATGAGAGGATAAAACCAGGGAGTGCAGAATGCAATGGGAGGCCCATCCTCCTGCAGCAGTGTGGGCCAAGAAAGGAAGTGATTTTTGGTTCAAAATGCAATAATGAGCAGGCAGCTGTGACAAGATTGTAATAAGCATGTTCCAAGTAGAAGGACACAAAATGGGGAACTTCAGAAAGCAAAGCAAGCTTGGTGTTAAGGAGAAAGAAGAAAAGCTACGGTATCTGAAGGTTAACCGGAAGAACAAAAGAGGGAAATTATGTGGTAGAGGTAAGTGGAGAGGCCCAATCATGCAGAGCTTTCCAAGCTAGGCTAAGGAGTTCAGATTTGATTGTAAATATGAGAAGCCATTAAGAATGCTTATAAGCTGAGTCATGCTGATCGTAAATCCTCGCTTTGATATTTGTTAGTTATGGGATCTTAGCAAGTTACTTAAATCTTTGGGTTGCAACCTTTTCATTTGTAAAATGGGGATGATAGAAGCTCCTCCTGTGTTAGGTGTGAAGGTTTTTATGAAAGTGCAATTTGGCTTCACATAGCACAGTAAGCTGTGAATATCAACACCGTATAAATTCCCTCCCCATTCAAACTCACAGATTCCAAATACATATAGAAAGGAAATATATAAAGAAAATAATCTTATATTATATAAGAAGCAAAAGACAAATGTCAACCATTCATTTCTTTCAGTGTTTTACTAAGACTTTAAGAATTCTATACCGTAGCCAGGGGTGAGCACAGGACAGCCAGTGGATAAATTCTGTGCCACCCCCAAACACAGGCACAATCCATGAAATAAGAATGGTTTATACATTTTAAAAATCCAAAGAGTGATATTTCATGACAATGAAATTTAAATTTAATGTGTAAAGTTCTAATGGAACCCATTCTGTTACATATTGCCAATGGCTGCTTTATGCTGTAACAGTAGACTTGAATAGTTGTGACAGAGTCCAGATGACCTGCAAAGCCTAAAAGGATTATTATCTGGCCCATTACAGTAAAGGTTTGTCGACTGCTAATCTGGCCTACTTATAATCTAAGTTACCCTGAAGGAAAAGTTTTAAACAGCTCATTCTCAATTTGTTTGCTTATTTATTATAGCTAAATAAAACATGGTCTCTGTCTTCTAGAAAGAAGAGGGGAAGAAGCGGATGCTGCTTAATATCATTTATATGACCTAGTTTCAAAAATAACTGGCATTAATGTTTGTGTGACAAAAAATGCTTACCTCTGCTGATACTTCCCCATCCGGTGACAGCACAGATCTCGGAGGAAAACAGAGGCTCCGTGCTGTGTGGGAGACATACTGGCCTCACTGCCGAATTGTACGCCAGAGGAGAGCTTAGCTGTACTAGGGCAATGTCAGAGTCGTAACTTAGTGTGTTGAAGTCCTCATGCACTATTATGTGTTTGGCCCTTCTCACCTGTATCAGTGGCAAGCAAGCAAATTCCAAGATAAGAAAGTCAAAGAACCCAGCTGCTTCCTTGTTGATAGTACAAAATAATCCTAAATCTCTGCACTTACATACATCAGCAACAAAGAAGACTTTGTATTATAAAAAAGCAATCCTGATTTACGATTTGCAGAAGGCTTTGAACAACCTTCTGGATAATGGTGGCACTGGAGAAACAAAGCTTTGGAAACCTGTGTCCATGCGCCTAAATTTGCAATTCTGACCTACTTCGTGTAATTCCCAAGTGAAAGTGTAATCTCAAATTGCATCTTTAAATGTGGGTATAAATTATAAGTGTAAAAGGGTCCTGGGAGATTAACTAATTACATATTTTAGATAAAGGTATTGCTTGGCATGTGAGAACATTTAGAGTACAGGTAGAATGACCTGTAAAAATATTCTTTTTACCTGCTCAGTTGATTCTTTCAGGGTTCTGTCATGGTCCCCAGCAATAATAGTCCAGGAGAATGGATTATTCTTCCTGGAGACAGAAGAACAGCAAAAGTTTGACATGAAACCCATTTGTATTAGATTGTTCTCACACTGCTATAAAGGACTACCTGAGACTGGGTAATTTATGAAGAAAAGAGGTTTAACTGACTCACAGTTCCACATGGCTCGGGAGGCCTCAGGAAACTTACAATCATGGCTGTAGGCAAAGGGGAAGCAAGCATGTCTTATCACAGCAAAGCAGGAGACAGAGAGAGAGAGAGAGCAAAGGAAGCCACATACTTTTAAACCATCAGATCTTTTGAGAATGCACTATCATGAGAACAGCATGGGGGAAACCACCCTACCAACATCTAGTCCTACTAACATGGACCATTCAGTTCAGCAAGGCAACAGTCCCCTGTCCGACTGCCTCTGCAATCTCCCTACCAGGGAAGCCACATCACACTCTCTGATCTATGTGAAGAGGGGCTCTCGATCATGTATCGTGCCCCTTTCTTTTAGCCATAAAGTGTCATTGGAGACCTTACCAAATATCAGCAGTCTTTTCTAGGTTGTGGAGGAAAAATGAAAATAATTAAAGCTTATTTTAATTTCACAGTGATGTTATGAGCATATTTTTAAAAATTATGTCTGTGACAAGGCAGCTTCTGGTCTATATTTTAACGTTCAAAATTGCCAAACTATGATCTCACTGGGTCATGTCTCAGATTTTCATCTTTTATTAAATCAGAATTATGAAACGGAAGTTAAAAAAGATTTATCAGTTTAAAAATTGGCAAAACTCAACTATTGCATTAGAAATCAGGGTGCTGATTACTTTTAGGGGAGTGGTGACTGAAAGAGGCACGACAGTGGCTGCTGGGTACTAGTATTTTGTTTCTCTAACTGGGTGTTGGTTACGTGGATGTTCATTTTGTGAAAAGTTCTGTATACTTGATATACCTCAAAATGATATTAAAAAGTTTGAATAAATTATCTATTAATTTACCATATCAAGATCTCTAGATGAAAAAGTGTCTGAGGGAAGAAATCCTCTACTGCCACCAATATACCATAACTTCTACTTGGAGACTAATTATTCCATTTTTTTTAATACAGTGTCTTCAGTAAAAGTAACATTACTGAAATTCTTTTTCAACATACCTCATTCAACGGTAAAATTGTGTGTGTGTGTGTGTGTATGTGTGTGTGTGTGTACATATTTAGTTTTATTGTAACAAAGCAACTTGTACACTTTCAATGTTTAAAACTAAGCATCATCTTTCCTTTCCAGTGAAACAAAAAGAAAATTTAAAAATGAACAGGAGTGCTCGCTTCGGCAGCACATATACTAAAATTGGAACGATACAGAGAAGATTAGCATGGCCCCTGCGCAAGGATGACACGCAAATTCGTGAAGCGTTCCATATTTTTAAACAGAGATATAGACCAATGGAACAAAACAGAGGCACCGGAGGCAACACAACATATCTACAACCGTACAATCTTTGATAAACCTGACAAAAACAAGCAATGGGGAAAGGACTCCCTGTTTAATGAATGATGTTGGGAAAACTGGCTAGCCATGTGCAGAAAGCAGAAACTGGACTCCTTCCTAACACCTTACACTAAAATTAACTCCAGATGGGTTAAAGACTTAAACATAAGACCTGGCACGATAAAAACCCTAGAAGGAAATCTAGGCAAAACCATCCAGGACATAGGAGTAGGCAAGGACTTCATGACCAAAACACCAAAAGCATTGGCAGCAAAAGCCAAAATAGACAAATGGGACCTAATGAAACTCCACAGCTTCTGCATGGCAAAAGAAACAGTCACTAGAGTGAATCGACAACCAACAGAATGGGAAAAAATTTTTGCAGTTTACCCATCTGGCAAAGGGCTGATATCCAGAATTTACAAAGAACTCAAACGGATTTACAGGAAAAAAACAAACAAGCCCATTCAAAAGTGGGCAAAGGATATGAACAGACACTTTACGAAAGAAGACATATATGAGGCCAACAATCATATGAAAAAATGCTCATCGTCACTGGTCATCAGAGAGATGCAAATCAAAACCACACTGAGATACCATCTCACGCCAGTTAGAATGGCGATCATTAAAAAATCTGGAGACAACAGATGCTGGAGAGGATGTGGAGAAAAAGGAACACTTTTACACTGTTGGTGGGAGTGTAAATTAGTTCAACCATTGTGGAAGACAGTGTGGCGATTCCTCAAGGCCTTAGAAATAGAAATTCCATTTGACCCAGCTATCCCATTACTGGGTATATATCCAAAAGACTATAAATCGTTCTACTATAAGGACACATGTACACGAATGTTCATTGCAGCACTGTTTACAATAGCAAAGACCTGGAATCAACCAAAATGCCCATTGATAATAGACTGGATTGGAAAAATGTGGCACATATACACCATGGAATATTATGCAGCAATCAGAAATGATGAGTTTGTGTCATTTGTAGGGACATGGATGAATCTGGAGAACGTCATCCTCAGCAAACTGACACAAGAACAGAAAATGAAACACCGCATATTCTCACTCATAGGCGGGTTATGAAAAATGAGAACACATGGTCACAGAAAGGGGAGTACTAAACACTGGGGTCTATTGGGGGGAAAAGGGGAGGGCCAGTGGGAGGGGGAGGTGGGGTGGGATAGCCTGGGGAGAAATGCCAAATATGGGTGAAGGGGAGAAGGAAAGAAAAGCACACTGCCATTTGTGTTCCTACGCAACTGTCTTGCATGCTCTGCTCATGTACCCCAAAACCTAAAATCCAATAAAAAATAAAAAAAAAAAAATGAACAGGAACAAAATTTCAATAGAGAATGTCAATTCCAAAGACGACCCCTCAGGTTCTGCTGAGTCTCCCATTGAGTGGCAGGGCTCAAGTCATCATTAGGAGAGAATTTATTCTAAAAGTGTCATCTTAAACTGCAAGGATGTCTGTTAACCATCACAAACACGCCAAAGAAGAAGCCATGTTGTCAAAATGCCCACTTAACTCACCCAAGCATCTCAAACTCACCCTTTGCTGACCTTCTATAACCCCATTTTTTTTTCTTTTTTAAAACAAGAGAAAGTAGACAGAAACATGTTGGTGAATGCTAACTGTCCATATTCACATAGAGACACAGTATACTCTCTGAGCCTAATATCCAGAGAAAGGAGGAAAAAAGCTAGAATTCTATGCACTACTACAGAGGGGCCTCGCATCCTTCAGCTTCCAGCAGAGCGAAGGGAGCCGGTTGTTCTTTTTCCCCACAGAGCTCATTGGTGTTGATTCCATAGAGTTTTTGTTCAGACAGGAAGGGATAAAAATGAATTTTGAACAGAAATGGGTTGAGACTCTTTTCCCATTGTATTCTGCTCAAGATATTTTCCCCAACATAAGTTGAGAACGATGGTGTAGAGAAAAGAGCCCTCAAAAACAGGGTGACTGAGCACAAGAGGAAAAAAAAAAGGACTGCAGCTTGTTCCCAGACCGGAGAAAATTTAGGTAAAGATTTTTGATATGTGTAGGCACCTTCTCCTGAGTCATAACCGTGCTCATTTCAATTCCTTGCATGATGGGTTTGACTTACTCATGTTTCAATATGCCTTTATTAAGGGAGCTAACTCAAGTGAAGTGCTTGGCAAGTACCTGGTAGATGGTAATGACTCCATAATGGTAGCCATTATCATTCTTATTATCTGCTATGCACACTAATGGAAGGATTAAACTTTTTCAAAGTCACCCTCTAAATAATTACTTGGTAGTGAAGAAACAAACTTCTTAAATCTACCCCACATCTTTATATAAAAGAGAGTGTATACAATACAGTGAAGTTACAAAAATGATGGTAGGGTTGACAATGTAGACCACAGTTTCTTGTGATGTTTTACATGTACAATCATCAAATATCCTTCAGTTTAATGGAGAACCATGACAAAGCCGCAGACACTTTATGACACCACAAAGCTTGAGATTTTTACAACAGTGGGAAAACAGCTCAAGGTATCAACTGATAGATTTCTTTACCATTCCTTTCCCCTCTCCCATATAAAATTTCATCTTTTATAGGCTTAAGGTCTTATCCCCAACCCAACAATGGGGCATGTGTCACTTACTGCTATGGAAGAAAGAAAGGCTTTGTCACAGAAAGGGTCACTGAAGTTTAAGTAGTAATGTAAGTTTTAGAAAGAGTCAGATACATAATAACTGCAGAGTGAGCTTGGTTGCCTAAAGTAAGTTAAAAGTCCCAGTGAGCACAAAAACCTGTGTGGAATTAACAAGATGTGAACACCAGGTTTTCCTGGTGTGGACCACCACCCCCAGGAATTTCTCAGGCCCCATACAAGACTTAAAGAATCAAACTCTCCAGGTGATTCTGGAGTATGCTGAAGTTTGAGAATTAATCCTAGGGTCAACCGGTGCCAGGGAAGCTATCTGGGTGGTGGTATGATGTCAACTCTCCTGATTGTCTTTGGAGTAGTACCCAACAATGTCAGCTTGTGTGGCAGTTGGTGACATTTAGCAAAAATGAAGTCTATCTCAGTTCCCAGGTTTTGCATATTTCCCTAAACTGCCTTTTTTTCCACGTGGAAAACTCCACTTCCCAATAGATTTGGATACTTGGAAAACCCCTTCAACAGAAAGTAGAATCTTAGATGTCTACAAGGTTGATGAAGATGAGCCAGGGAGAAATGAGTTTGTAAAGAAGTCAGATGAAGAGTTCCCATAAAGGCAGGGCACACATGGGATATAGGGCTTTTGTTACACTGGCATATTAGCACACTCCTGATGTAAAGATCCACACACTTCAAGGATTAGATTTAAAAAGATATTTCACTGGTCAAATAAATTAGGCAACTGTGAAGAGTTAAAAACTGTGGCACACAGACATTCACCATACCAGTATAAATGTAAGACATAATGTTATATGCAAAAATAAAACTGTATGTGATATATACAAATACTATAAAGATATATGCATGTATGTTTAAATATTAGTGGAAAATCAGACAATTAAACCATTCTTGATGACATCTAGAGAAAAAGTATGATAGGAAAATGGAGGGGTAGTTTAGGCTCTTGTTGATAACCTTCTCTAACTGCCTTTTTTCCCCCAAAAGCATTACTATTATAATACATATTGTTAAAGAAATTAAGAAGTCACAAATAAAATTAAATACAAATCATTTTTGTGACTAACATGTGGCTCTCAAACACTTACAGCTGTTTATTAATTTCAACTGATTCATCAAGTTGAGTATCTATCTTGGGAAAAATAGTTTTGTTACATTCTGTATCTTGCTGCAAGGTGTCATGGCTCATCACATAAATTTCAGAATAGACCATATAATTTGAAAAGGGAATCTACCAAAACTTTTTCTGTGTCTCTGTACTCAATACTAATATTTTTTTTAATACATTAATCTTCTCAAATTAATCAGCTACACCTGAGACATCTTTTCCATGGTACATTCAATGCACTTTGATAGAATTCTTACAAAAATAAGTTGTTTTTGTAAAGAGGAGGAGACCTAAACAAAACCAGGTGGTACTGAATTAGAGTTGAAAATATCATATGAACTCACATTTAGCTTAATATAGATATAGACAGATAGATTTATATACATGGGATAGTATACATACCTATATCTTCTAGCTCTGTCTGCTGAAAAAGCCTAGAACCAATAACGTGCTACTAGCAACTAGTATACCCAACATCAGATCATGATTTATCATAACATTCTCCAATAAAATGAACCATGGCTCCTTGGAAAAGTGGCTGGTGCTAGAACTAAGTAGGAAATACACAAGACAGACCTGGAGCAACTTGCAGAATGACAAAAGGATGAGGGTGTGTCAAAGAGACACAGAAGCCAAACGCTGATCTTGAGCTCTGGAAGAGCTCACGATGGCCAAAGATAGAACAATTTCAATGTGGGCCACCTTTACTGACTTGTTTCCCAAGAGTAAATATGGAAAGGGGGGAAAATGTAACTTTACATTAGAGAAACCTGGTAAACACTACCTCAGCCAGATGGTCAAGGTTAACATCCGTGATAAGTCATGCTGACTTTATGTACCCTTGATATATGAGAAAAATAGTATGTTACTTTTGTTGTCTTCCTCCCCAAAATCCATAATGCTAGTAAAACCTTGACAAAAATTTCAGACAAACGAAACTGAAGGACAATTTACAAACAATCAGATAAGATCTCCTCAAAATGACCAAGAATAGTCCTAGAAGCTTACAGCCAAGAAGAGTCTGAGGAAACCTGACAACTAAACATGAGCTGTCCTGAAGCAGCAAGTACCATGACCTTGAGACAGGAATGAGCTCAGCATGTCTAAGTAGCAGAAAGGCCCATGAGGCCAGCCTACTGGGAGCAGGCAGGGAAATAAATGGTCAAGAAGGGGTTAGGGAAGTGGGGCACAGTGGGTCATGCTTGTAGTCCCAGTACTTTGGTAAAGGATTGCTTGACCAGTCTGCGCAACATAGCAAGACACCATGTCTACAAAAAAAAAAAAAAAAAAATTAGGGGCATGGTAGCATGTGTCTGTAGTCCCAGCTGCTCAGAAGGCTGAGGTGGGAGGATCCCCTGAGGTAAGGCTAGATCATGCTACTGCATTTCAGTCTGTGACAGAGAGAGACAGAGAGTGCTTCTTGACGCTCAGCACATTAGAATCATTTGGGAAGCTTTTCAAAAATACCAGTGCCCAGAACGTACCCACAAAGGATTGCTTTAACTAGTCTGAACTGAAAACAAATTACACACAGTCATATGGCTTAATCTACACAAGGTATTGTGAGGATAAAGTAAGACACAAGAATATAAACGGCAGTTCTGTTACATAAAGATCAAAATCAAGAAAAAACAAATGATATGCTGTTTAAGGGAATTTAAGAAATTTAGCATAGCATTTTTTTCTCTTTTGATTTTTTTTTTTAATATTTAAGTTCTGGGATACATGTGCAGAATGTGCAGGTTTGTTACATAGGTATACAGGCGCCATGGTGATTTGCTGCACCTATCAACTGTCATCTAGGTTTTAAGCCCAACATGCATTAGGTATTTGTCCTAATGCTCTCTCTCCCCTTTTCCCCCACCTCGTGTTGTTCCCTTTCCTGTGTCCTGGTGTGTGATGTTCCCCTCCCTATGTCCATGTGTTCTCACTGTTCAGCTCACACTTATGAGTGAGAACATGTGGTGTTTGGTTTTCTGTTCCAGCATTTGTTGGCTGAGAATGATGGCTTCCAGCTTCCCATGTCTCTGCAAAGGACATGAACTCATCCTTTTTTATGGCTGCAGAGTATTCCATGGTGAATATGTGCCACACTTTCTTTATACGGTCTATCATTGATGGGCATTTGGATCGGTTCCAAGTCTTTGCTATTGTATATAGTGCTGCAATAAACATATGTGTGTATGTGTCTTTATAGTAAAATGATTTATAATCCTTTGAGTATATACCCAGTAATGGGATTGCTGGGTCAAATGACATTTCTGATTCTAGATCCTTGAGGAATCACCGCTCTGTCTTCCACAATGTTCAAACTAATTTACATTCCCATCAACAGTGTAAAAGCATTCCTATTTCTTCACAGACTTGCCAGCATTTATTGTTTCCTGACTTTTTAATAATTGCCATTCTAACGGGTGTGAGATGGTATCTCATTGTGGTTTTGATTTGCATTTCTCTAATGACAAGTGATATTGAGCTTTTTTACATATGTTTGTTGGCCACATAAATGTCTCCTTTTGAGAAGTGTCTGTTCATATCCTTTGCCCACTTTTTGATGGGTTTGTTAGTTTTCTCCCTTGTAAATTTAGCATAGTATTTCTAAGAGGGATTCTAAGGGGTCTAAAAAGGTAAGTATAAAGATTCTTCCTAAACTGGAGACTGGGAATACAAATGTTCATTTAACATTAATAACTATTCTTTAAACCACAAATATGTATATTATTTCATATCATGGAATACTTCACTATTTAAGAACATTTAAATATTAACTAAATTTTAGTTCCCCAGTCATGCAATAATCAAGTTGTAGGTTATTCTATTGTGCTCTCCACTGAGATGATCCATATTTTCAAAGAACAATCCTAAACCAATCTAGTGGAAGGTGCCTTGCATGGTAAGGCATCTGAATTACTAAGAACCAACAGTGGAACTATGAGCACTTAGCTTAAAGAGTAAACTAAAGAGAAATGTGAGAAGAGTCTTCAAATATAGGAATAACTATTATGTGAAAGAAGAAACCAACTTAGGTTTTGGAACTACAGTACAATTAGACCAATGGATTTCTGCAATCAGGAAGCAGACTTCAGCTCAACATAATAAGAGATCTCTGTAAATGGGATGAGCAGTCAAGATTTGATGAACTTTTTCTTCACTGACATTTTTTAAATAGAAGCTAGATGGCTATGCAGGATAAATACCGAAAGAAGATTCTCACTTTAGAATAGTCTAGATGATCTTAGTAGTTAGCCTACGGCATTGCTTATACATGCATGTGCTAAATTGGTTGTTAAAATACCAGTTTCACTCACGATTGCACACAGTGGGCTGCAGTCAGAATCCACACTGGGTCAATGATGGCACCTCCACATTGGTAATCACCTAGAAACCTCAGACCCACATGCCATGGCCAACAGTGGGGGCAGGCTTCTTCCCCTCCTGCAATTCTTCTGGAAAGCCACTGGAAACTAAATGGAGGGATGCCACAGACATCTACCGTAAAGATGAAACCAACAACCCATAAGGTTTCAGTAATTTGGAACACATTCCTCTAATAGATTGCCATAGTTAATAACAGTGATTATGAAACATCAGATGGGATTTATAACAATACTGATTCCCAAAACTCACCAACCACTGAAAAATCTGATTTGAAGAGGCCTGCCAAGGTGACTATGATAGGCAATCAGAATTTTAGGTACCTACAGAATTTTATTTATTCATTTAGCAAACGTTTATTTAGTGCTTGCTATTTGCTAGGCACTGTTCTAAACATTGGTGGAATGGAACAAATGATAAAAATACTGGCCCCTCATGGGACTTACATTCTAGTAGGAAAATTTCAAGTTTGTTAGCCCAGTACATAAGGTTCTTTACTGTATCTTGTTTTAGTTCTTGTTCTCATTGTATGAATCCACATATCAATCTTCAAACATATTACATTTGTTTTGGCATCTAAATGCTGTTCTCTTATCAGGAATTGGTAAGACCCACAGCTCAAGTGTTAATCTCTTGGAAGCCTTCTCCAACCCCCCACCCCACAAGAAGTGGGTATTTTCTCCTCTAATAGCTCCTTGTGCAACTTTCTTGAACATATTCAACCCATGCATGTGGAACAATGAGGGATCATAGTATTTGCCTAGATGCCATAGAGCATAAGGAAATTAAAAGATGCCAGTGCAAATTTAAAACAAAAAAAACAAAAAACCTTTGTTTTCTCCCTTTGTCCCACTCTGACCCTAGAAGTCATTTTAGATATTAAGTTTGTAAAGAAATAGATGAGGAAAAAAGATTGCATTATACCCTTTTCTTCCTAATGTAAAGCGTATTTGTTCTTGCCTCTATTTACGAGTCTAACTATAAACCCAAATAAACTTAGGAAGTTTTATTAACCTAAATATTAAGACTTATTCATCTTCACTGTGGTGTTATAACAAATATAAGATAAGGACTTCCAAAAGAGATGTCTAGTTAATGAATAAATGAGATTAAACAGATAGTAATAATATGCTATCAACTCACCCTGCAGAATAGCTTTTGCAGTAGATACAGGATTGGTTTGGGGAGTTGGTGTTGCTTCAGTTTTGTTGGAAGACTCTAGAAGAAAAAAAAATTAACTGAAAAGAATTAGAGAAGCTACACTAACTGACCCCACTTGCTTACCCTGGTAAAACATAAAGCCACTTTCTGTAGATCTCACTAACATCACCATTCATACACTAGATGCCAGATCCCAGAGATGCGATTTCTTGCATCTCTTAATATTCCTGCTGCATCTGGCTCTTTTAAGCACTTCTTCCTTCCCTGGTTTCCTGATACTAATTTCATAGTTTTCCTTATATATCAATGGTTATCTGTTTTCATTGTCTTTTTTTTTTCAGGATCTCATTGTTTAGCCTGAAAAGATATTGCCAAGGTAATGTTCATTATTCTATTTTTATTCATCAACATGTAGATGACTTCCAAATTTCTCTCTTCAGTCTAAATCTCTTTCCTGAATCCTAGACCTAAGACTTTTAGATATCCCCACTTGAATTTCCCACAAGCTAATATCTACATGTCTTAAATTGTACTAAGTGATTTTGACAGTCAATATGGTCTTGTTCTTACATTTCTCTATCATCTAGTGGCTTCTACCATTCACCTCACCACTCATGCTAGGATCCTGAAAATCATACTTGGGAAAGTTAATAATGAGTGTCGATTGGATTGAGGTATACAAAGTATTAATCCTCGTGTGTCTGTGTGGGTGTTGCCAGAAGAAATTAACATTTGAGTCAGTGAGCTGGGGAAGGCAGATCCACCCTTAATGTGGTGGGCACAATCTAATCAGCTTTCAGTTAATATAAAGCAGGCAGAAAACCATGAAATAGACAAGCCTAGCCTCCCAGCCTACATCTTTCTCTCATGCTGGATGCTTCCAGCCCTCGAACATTGGACTCCAGGTTGGGACTGGCTCTCCTTGCTCCTCAGCTTGCAGATAGTCTATTGAGGGACCTTGTGACTGTGTAAGTTAATAATAAACTCCTCTCTCTCTCTCTCTCCACACACACACACACACACACACACACACACACACACACACACATGTCCCTATAGAGAGGAGATGCTCTCTCTATATATGTATATATATCTATAGATAGATATGTGTATATATATATAATCTCTCTATAGTGACATATATAGAGTGACAGAGAAAATCTATATAGTGATATATATGTATATATATAGAGAGATCTCTATATATGTATATATATAGAGAGATCTCTATATAGATATATAGATATGTATATGTATATAGATATACATAAAGATACAAATACATATATATATATATATATATATATGTGTGTGTGTGTGTGTGTGTGTGTGTGTCTATATATGTCTATCCCTCTAAGAGAACTGTAATACTGGACTTGTCTTTCTTCATATACTCCATCTCCACAATAAATATAATCAAACAATACATCTAGAATAAATTCTTTACAAAGATTTTTTTCAGTACTTTTCTTGCATTTAAGTTCATTAATAATCGTCCAGATTACTCTGGAGTCAGAGAGACCAAGTTCTGACTCTACCTCTTGCCAGGTGTGCATCTTTGGGAATATTACTCAACTTTTTGTTTCATTATTGTACTTTAGGTTCTGAGGTACCTGTGCAGATCATGCAGGATTGTTGCATAGGTACATATAACGCAATGTGGTTTGCTGCCCTCATCATCCCTGTCACCTATATCTGGCATTTCTCCCCATGTTATCCCTCCCCAACCTCCCTACCTCATGCTGTCCCTCCTGTAGTCCCCCTCAACAGACCCCAGTGTGTGATGCTCCCCTCCCTGTGTCTATGTGTTCTCATTGTTCAACACCCACCTATGAGTGAGAACATGTGGTGTTTGATTTTCTGTTCTTATGTCAGTTTGCTGAGAATGATAGTTTTCAGATTCATCCATGTCCCTAACAAAGGACGAACTCATCATTTTTTATGGCTGCATAGTATTCCATGGTGTATATGTGCCACATTTTTTTGTTCAGTCTATCATTGATGGGCATTTGGGTTGGTTTCAGGTCTTTGCTATCGTAAACAGTGCCTCAGTTCCCTCACTGGTGAAAGGAGAGCAATGCACATAGCTCCTATGTATGTAAGGAGGAATATATGAGATAATGCATGTGAAATGCTTAGTCAATACCTGCTACAGAGCGAGTAATCAATACATGTTAGCTAGCTATCCTATTACTCTGGCACTTATAATTTAGTGCCTCATGTTCAACATGATCTAAATCCTGCCTTTTCTATTATTCCCTCCAAAACTCAAACCATGTTGAGTTATTTGAAGTTTTCTTATACATTGTCCATTCTCTTTTGTTAGGGTTTTTGCATATGATATTCTTTTTGTCTGAATAACTTGTACTTTATCTTCCAGAATGCTGGGATACCTACTAATTCTTCAAACCCCTCTAACTTGGCAAAATGGAGCCAATCTCATTTCAGAATACTTTAAACCTAATTCTCTTCTTTCTCTATGTGGTACGTGGAATCTTCATGTTTCCGTGGATGCCATTTCTTGAGCATTACCTAAGGTGTATCCTAAAGCACAGATTCCTGTGCCTCATCCCAGATCTACAGAAGCTATGTCTCTGGGGGTGGACCCAGAAATCTGCATTTTCGTTATGCTTACAAAAGGGATTGATAGCCTACATTTAGGTAAAGATGGCTAAATTATCTTCCCTGTAACCATTTTCATAAGCAAAAGTCCTTAATACACAAGTGTCTATGCTCACCTGAGGGCAAAAAGGTGAATCTAGCCTTAAAGCCTTGGAAACAATTTATACCATCACTTTTAAATGTGTTACCATCATGTTACTAGAACTGAATATTGAAGTGATGGTCAAGATTCCACAAAGGTTAGCTGAAAAGTTTTAGGGAAGTTTGATTTATAGTTATTATTTTAAAAAGTCAGAACACAGAATAAAATATCACCCAATTAATTTTCTAATCAACTACTTTAGTTTTCTCCAACTTTTACTTGTGTACACACCCTTACATTCACATGAGAATTAAATGTTAGTTTCATAATAACAATGCACTGTAATTTTAACTGCACAGAAAAAGCTCCATAAATAAGGACATTTTATTTCCAGCATGCATAGAAACTCAACTGGTTATTACTTTGCAGACAGTAAGAGGTGGGTTACGAAAAGAAAACACCCATGTTTGTGTATTCCTTTTTCCAAACAGGATATAAGAATACTTGATTAGAAAGGTAACACTTGAAGTCACTTTCACGGAAACCTCACACTATACATGCACTGTTCTGCAGAATCATGGCATTGTGCTCTCACTAACCTGCCCTTAATGTCTAAATAAATATTACAAGTCCATCTATAAACCTGGCCTCTTACCCACACAAACCCCTACCTGAAGGACAAATACTAGGTCTTAAAAAAGTATATTTGAAGTTTTGAATATCTTAAAATTAATTGTCAGACCCACATAGAAATTATGGCTTTTGGTTACTTTTCTCTGACACAAATACCAAAATATCAATAACAGAAGAAATTCATACAGAAAGAAGAAGCTTTAAAATTTATCTTAAATAACTGACAAAAATTTACTCACTGTTACCATTTTATCCTTTCTCTTCGGACTGCCTTTTCACCTTACATATAGTCTAAAATAATCTTTACGTTTTGCACATTTCCATTAAAAACTTTACTGGTGAATTAGTTGCTGGCTTATGAGTTTTAAAGCTAAAGTATGGCATTCTGAGTTTCTAGAGCAAGAAATTCACATTCTCACTCTACCTTATGGTACCCAAGGAAGCCAGCTGATGTTGCAATTACTCTGATTAGTCTAACACTTTCATATTTAAAGGATGACTGCTACCTACCTAACTTGTGCTCTTCTTCAGAATCAGCAAAAATCACAACAGCATCATAGTTACAGTTGTGACTAAATTCAACAGTAAAGTCCTCAAATGCCAACTGTACAAATGAAACATAAGGAGAGAAACGTTCAAAGAGGAGGAGAGAAGCTTAAAGGATTTTCCTCTGTGTATTTAAAGGCTGCTTGTCACATTCTGATATGCTTCACATAGAAATGTAAATAACTGCAGTCTCTTTGAAAGGCAATTTGGCAATGACTACCAGGTTTAAATGAGCAAACCCTTTGAGCAAGCAAGTCTGCTTCTGAGACATATACATAACTGCATGTGTCCAAAGACGCTGGCAGATATTCATGACACCATGGCTGATATGAGCAAAGACTGGAAACTCAGTAAACATCTGTTAATAGGGAGCTAGTTTAACATGTTCTGACATATCATACAATATTTTATGCAGTTATTAAAAAGATCTCTCTGGGCTCATCCGGAAAGATCTTCAAGATATTTTTCAGTGAACAAGACATTGCCAAGCAGCATATGTACATGCACACACACACACACACGCACGCATGCATGTACATTAGTAAAGCTCAAAATACCTCCCAAGGACACTGTAGTAAGTTATCAGTGTTTGCCTCTAGCGGTAGGATGGGAATCTGAGGAGGAGCCTTACTTTTTGTTGTGTACACTTTTAAACCACTGAAAGTCTTCAAAACTACACACACCCAATTAATTTTCAGAGTAAAAAAAAAAATGGCAAATGGCAAAAACTTCTAGTCATAATGGCAGTTTAACCATTGAGATGAATTAAGTTATGCCTAACTAATGTAACTAAATTCTCTATGAAGTAAAGTGATTTCTCAGTTGCCTACCTTTATAATGTATTCTCTGGAGCATAAATGAACCAATGACACCTTACATTACAACCACACTCTCACAACCTGACCCTGTGGAAGCATTGGGGAAATTCAAAGTGAATGGCCAAAGGCATTTCCTCCTCCTCATCCCCACATCAAGGGAAAATGACAGGGAAGTAAATACATGAAACACTCACCTGCTTCTGAGTTCTGTACAGCAGTAAAAGTCAGCTCAAAGCCACTGCCACTGTCTTCTGTATCAGAAACAAATGCAATCATGGCCTTACTGGTCTCTGTCAGCAATGGTGAGGGCAATATATTTCCACAGACCTTACCTTAAAAGAAGACAAGGAAAGTAAAATAACATTACTAAGAAGTGGTGGAAATTTACACGTGTTTGGTTTTTTTCGTCATCTTCTACAAGCTCTCTGGTCTAAACACACTAAGCTCTTTAGTGGTCCTTTAATCATTCCACATTCCCTGCTTCAGTGACTTTGCTATTCCATTCGCCTTCTCACCCCATCTCACATGTCCAAATTCTACTCACTCTTCGGGGCCTAACTCAAAGTTCAGCTCTCCCGTAAACTCTACCAGACAACCACTGGAAATAAGAGCCACCTTTTCTGAATCATTGCAGCACATTCCCTGTTCTAACAGCATTCTCTGCGTTACACCTTTGATTACCTCAAACTACAAACTATTTGGGCAGAGTTCTTTTTCTTGAAAAATGTCCAGTACCTAGTATGATAGCTTATATACAGGTAATTTTTAACAAATGACTGGCTGAAAGAATAATTACTGTGTAAATAGCAGGCCTGAGCATGAAATAATTTAGTCAATAAATATTATAACGCCTAGCACAACACTTTGTCTATAGCTTTCTGTCAAATGTGTATGAAGAGATGTTTGTTCTAACTGTTGGTCTTGTGAAGACCTAGAGATCAAGGTCTATAGCAGCTGTGGAGATCTTCTATCATGTTTAACATGTAGTATTTCAACAAAATTAGATATATCGGTTTTGTTTATGCTTAAAGAGGTATTCAATAAAAGAAATTGAATGATCGTGTTATGAGAAAAAAATTATATCAAACAATGTAAAATTCAAAGTATATGTGTAAATAGATACATGTCACAGTGCTAATAGAGATTATCTCTAGGTGACGGGGTTATGAATGGTTTATATTTTCTTCATTTTGCTCATGTGTATTTACCAAATTTGGTAAACATGTACCCACTTTCGTGATTAAAAAATTGCCTCAAAAGGAAGTTTCTGACAACTGCGACATCAATTACATTCAATACTGTTATTGAACTTGAGAAATAAATGTGGTATCTGGTGTCCAACTTAGTAAACCCTGAAGAGAATGGTCAGTGTGCTGTTCACTGTCCCCACTCTTACTTATCCTTCCCTTAACCCTTCTAGAAAGGAATAGTATGTACAATAGGATGATTGCCCTGGGTACAGAAATTTTATTTTTTTATTTTCTTGAGTAAAGTAAAAGCAAGTTTATTAGGATAGTAAAGAAATAAAGAATCTCCATAAGCAGATGCCAGAAATTTTATTTTAGATCTTTTAGTTTCTCTTAGGTCTTTTAGATACTCTAAAATGATAAATAAAAACAAATGTAACATACTTACTAATAAGCACTCCATTGCTTGATTGTAAAGATACATAGTCATGATCACATCCAACTTGCTTTTCCGTGTCTAAACTTGTAAATTTTAGCAAGATAATTTTATCTTCTGGTACTATTATCTTCCAAATATATAAGCTGGGGTAGAGGAAGGTGAAAAAATATAATAAAAGGCAGAGTCAAATTTGATAAATAAAATCTAATACCTGTGGCTTTAGCTCAAAAATACAATTTTATATAATATTAGAAGATAAAAGGCAATAGAACATTTTCTGTGAGAAAAATTTGTTTGTGCTCAAATTGCTAACATTTATCTGATAAATAGATGGGTGTTAATTGGAGAATGACCAGAAACCACCCCTTAAATTTCATTTTGTTATAAAATACTAGAATTTTGATCTATAAACAGAAGAAACCCAAAATTCAGCTATTGGCCCAATTTTCATATTTATCCAGAGCTTGAATTATGAATTATGATTCTAATGAATTATGAATTGACCATGTAGTACATGCTAACCTTAAACAGCCACGAAGTCCAAAGTCATCCTAAGTCATAGTCCCTGGGTTACAATGTCATCTCTTTAACTCCCAGTAAGGTCAGCTGTGACTTTTCACTAACATTTTAAAAAGCAAATTGAGCTCTTGGTAGTGCTGTTCCTACATGTCAGGGCTCAGTGGATGGAGGAGAAACAGGTGAAAAGTAGAACCCAGTGCCCAGTGGTCAGTTCCCTTGGAAGTCCTGCTGAAGCAATCTTTGTCTTTAAGAGAGAGGCGAGATCCAAGATGGCTGAATAGGAACAGCTCTGGATTGCAGTTCCCAGTGAAAACATAGAAGGTGAGTGATCACCATATTTCCAAACAAATTTGTATTGCCCATAGACCAGAAGATTCCTGGGTGGAAAAACACCATTAGTCTCAAAGAATGGCTGTTTCAGCCAGCACAGTGGGTCTCTGCACAAAAACTCACACAAACCTGGGTGCTGTATCAACTGGTGACTGGAATGCCTGAGAGACAGAGTCACCCATTCAACTGAAAGACAGGGGGCTGAAACAGGGAGCCAGGTGATCTGACTCAGCTGGTCCCACTCCCACAAACACCAGCAATCTGAAATGCTCTGGATTGAGAGTTTCACAGGCAAGCACAGCTGGACCCAGGACAGTCGAGCTCTGTCAGGGAAAGGGCATCCACCATTACTGAGGCAGACTGCCACTACAGAGGAAGACCACCACTACCAAGGCAGACTGCCATTACTGAGGTAGTCCATCATTACCAAGGCAGACCACTATTACAGCCAGTCTGCCATTACTGAGACAGACTGCTATAGCCAAGGCAGTTCTAACTATACTCCTATAAACAAAACTGCAAGGAGGTTCACACAGCAGTTGGGAAGAGCCAATGGCAGCTCAGCAATGCCTCTGCTGGCAGACTGTGACTAGGCTACCTCCTCACTGGGCAGGTATCTCTGAAAAAAGGCAGCAGAATGACAGGAACTTACAAATAAAGTCCCACCTTCCCAGGACAGAGCAACTAGGAAAAAAAGGCAATTATGCATTCTGCTGCAGCAGACTTAAACGTACCTTCCCAGCAGCTATGAACAGAACAATGGAGCTCACAGTTCAGCACCTGAGGGACAGACTGTCTCCGTAAGCAGCTCCTCAACCTCCATATACCCAAAGAGACACCTCATAAAGGAGAGCTCAGGCCAACATCTGGCGGGGATCATTCTGGGACAAAGATAACAGAAGAAGAAACTGGCAGCAACCCTTACTGATCTACAGCCCCTGTGGGTGATCCCCAGGCAAACAGGGTCTGGAGTGGACCTCCAGCATTCCTGCAGCAGGGGGTGCTAACTGTTAGAAGGAAAACTAAGAAACAGAAAGAAATAACTTCATCAGCAACAAAAAGGACATCCACTCAGAGACCCCATCTGAAAGTCACCAACCACAAAGACCACAGGTAGATAAATCCACAAAGATGGGAAGAAACCAGTGCAAAAAGGATGAAAATACCCCAAACCAGAATGCCTCTCTTCTTCCAAGGGATCACAACTCCTCACCAGCAAGGGAACAAGGCTGGATGGAGAATGAGTCTGATGAATTGACACAAACAGGCTTCAGAAGGTGGATAATAACAAACTTCTCTGAGCTAAAAGATCATGTTCTAACCCAATGCAAAGAAACTAAGAACCCTGAAAAAAGGTTTCATAAAATGCTAATAAGAATAAACAGCTTACAGAGGAATATAAATGAATTGATGAAGCTAAAAAACACAACACAAAAACTTTGTGAAGCATACACAAGTTTCAATAGCCAAATCGACCAAACAGAAGAAAGGATATAAGGGATTGAAGATCAACTCAATGCAATAAAATGAGAAGGCAAGATTAGAGATAAAAGAGTTAAAAAAAAAAATGAACAAAGCCTCCAAGAAATATGGGATTATGTGAAAAGACCTAATCTACATTTGATAGGTGTACCTGAATGTGATGGAGAGAATGAATCCAGGCTGGAAAACACTCTTCAGGATATTATCTAGGAGAACTTCCTCCATCTAATAAGGCAGGCCAACATTCAAGTCCAGGAAATACAGAGACCACCACAAAGATAGTCCTCAAGAAGAGCAACCCAAAGGCACATAATCATTAGATTCACCAGGGTTGAAATGAAGAAAAAAATGCTAAGCGCAGCCAGAGAGAAAGGTTGGGTTACCCACAAAGCAAAGCCCATCAGACTCACAGTGGCTCTCTCAGCAGAAACCCTACAAGCCAGAAGAGAGTGGGAGCCAATATTCAACATCCTTAAAGGAAAGAACTTTCAACCTAGAATTTCATATCCAGCCAAACTAAACTTCATAAGTGAAGGAAAAATAAAATTCTTTAAGAACAAGCAATTGCTAAGAGTTTTCTTCACCACCAGGCCTGCTTTACAAGAGCTCCTGAAAGAGGCACTAAACATAGAAAAGAACAACCAGTCCCAGCCACTCCAAAGATGTACCAAATGGTAAAGGGTGTTGACACAATAAAGAAACTGCATCAACTAATGGGCGAAACAACCAGCTAGCATCAAAATGGCAGGATCCAATTCACACATAATGATATTAACCTTAAATGTAAATGGGCTAAATATCCCAATCAAAAGACATAGACTGGCAAATTGAATAAAAAGTGAAAACCCATTGGTGTGCTGTATCCAGGAAACCCATCTCACATCCAAGGATACACATAGGCTCAAAACAAAGTGATGGAGGAAAATCTACCGAGCAAATGGAGAGCAAATAAAGCAGGAGTTGCAATCCTAGTTTCTGATAAAATAGACTTTAAACCAACAAAAATCAAGAGAGACAAAGAAGGGCATTACATAATGGCAAAAGGATCAACACAACAAGAAGAGCTAACAATCCTAAATATGTATGTGTCCAATACAGGAGCACCCAGATATATAAAGCAAGTTCTTAATGTTCTACAAAGAGCCCTAGACTCCCACACAATAATAATTGGAGACTTTAACACTCCACTGTCAATATTAGACAGATCAGTGAGTCAGAAAATTAACAAGGGTATGCAGGACTAGAACTCAGACCTGGAGCAAGCAAACCTAATACACATTTACAGAACTCTCCACCCCAAATCCACAGAATATACATTCTTCTCAGTACCACATCACACCTACTCTAAAATTAACCACATAATTGGAAGTAAATCACTCCTTAGCAGATGCAAAAGAATGGAAATCATAGCAGTCTCTCAGACCACAGTGCAATCAAATTAGAACTCGGAATTAAGAAACTAACTCAGAACCACACAACGTCATGGAAACTGGCTCCTGAATGTTGACTGGATAAACAATGAAATGAAGGCAGAAATAAAGATGTTCTTTGAAACCAATGAGAATGAAGACACAACATACCAGAATCTCTGGGACACATTTAAAGCAGTGTCTGGAGGAAAATTTTATAGCAATAAGTGCCCACATGAGAAGCAAGAAAAGATCTAAAATCAACATGCTATCATCAAAATTGAAAGAGCTAGAGGAGCAAGATCAAAAAAACCTCAAAAGTTAGCAGAAGACAAGAAATAACTAGGATCAGAGCACAACTGAAGGAGACAGAGACACAAAAAACCCTTAAAGAAATCAATAAATCCAGGAGCTGGCTTTTTGAAGAGATCAACAAAATAGACCACTAGCCATTAATAAAAAAGAAAAGAGAGAATTATCAACTAGATGCAATAAAAAAATAAAGGGGTATCACCACCGATTCCGCAGAAATACAAACCACCATCAGAGATTACTACAAACAACTCTATGCACATAAACCAGTAAACCTGGAAGAAATAAATTCCTGGACACTTACACACTCTAAAGACTAAACCAGGAAGAAGTCGAAACTCTGAATAGAACAATTACAAGGGCTGAAATTGAGGCAGCAATTAATAGTTAGTTTACCAACCAAAAAAATCCCAGGTCCAGATGGGTTCACAGCCAAATTCTACCAGACATACAAAGAGGAGCTGGTACCACTCCTTCTGAAACTTTTCCAAACAATCCAAAAAGAGGGAATCCTTCCCAAATCATTTTATGTGACTAACATCATCCTGATACCAAAATCTGGCGAGACTCAACCAAAAAAGAAAACTTGAGGCCAATATCCATGAACGTATATGCAAAAATCTTCAATAAAATACTGGCAAACCAATTGCAACAGCACATCAAAAAGCTTATCCATCACTATCAAGTAGGCTTCATCCTACTTGATGAATGCAAGGGGATGCAAGGCTGGTTCCACATATGCAAGTCTATAAATGTAATCCACCACACAAACAGAACCAAAGACAAAAACCACATGATTATCTCAATAGATGCAGAGAAGGCTTTCAACAAAATTCAACAGCCCTTTATGCTAAAAACTCTCAATAAACTAGGTATCAACAGAATGAATCTCAAAATAATAAAAGCTATTTATGACAGATCCACAGCCAATATCATACTGAATGGGCAAAAACGAAGCATTCCCTTTGAAATCTGGTACTAGACAAGGATGCCCTCTCCCACAACTATTCAATATAGTATTGGGAGTTCTAGCCAGAGCAATTCAGCAAGAAAAGAAAATAAAGGGTATTCAATTCGGAAAAGAGGAAGTC